TTTAACAGACAGATACCTGAGATTCCTCTGGCCTTGACACTAGACTTAGACATTTTGACAGACAGATACCTGAGATTCCTCTAGCCTTGACACCAGACTTAGACATTTAACAGACAGATACCTGAGATTCCTCTAGCCTTGACTGACTAGACTTAGACATTTTGACGGACAGAGACCTGAGATTCCTCTGGCCTTGACACTAGACTTAGACATTCTGACAGACAGAAACCTGAGATTCCTCTAACCTTGACACTAGACTTGGACATGTTGACAGACAGATACATGAGATTCCTCTGGCCTTGACAATAGACTTAGACATTCTGACAGACAGATAATTGAGATTCCTCTAGTCTTGACTGACTAGACTTAGACATTTTAACAGACAGATACCTGAGATGCCTCTGGCCTTGACACTAGACTTAGACATTATTCCTCTAGCCTTGACACTAGACTTAGACATTTTAACAGACAGATACCTGAGATTCCTCTGGTCTTGACACTAGACTTAGACATTTTACCAGACAGATACCTGATATTCCTCTAGCCTTGACACTAGACTTAGACATTTTACCAGACAGATACCTGAGATTCCTCTGACCTTGACACTAGACTTAGACATGTTGACAGACAGATACCTGAGATTCCTCTGGCCTTGACACTAGACTTAGACATTTTGACAGCCAGATACCTGAGATTCCTCTGGCCTTGACACTAGACTTAGACATTCTGACAGATATATACCTGAGATTCCCCTGGCCTTGACACTAGACTTTGACAGACAGATACCTGAGATTCCTCTAACCTTGACACTAGACTTAGACATTTAACAGACAGATACCTGAGATTCCTCTAACCTTGACACTAGACTTAGACAGTTAACAGACAGATACCTGAGATTCCTCTAGCCTTTACACTAGACTTAGACATTTTGACAGACAGATACCTGAGATTCCTCTGGCCTTGAGTACACCAGACTTAAACATTTAACGGACAGATACCTGAGATTTCTCTGGCCTTGACACTAGACTTAGAAACCTCTTGCCCTGATACCAGACTTAAACATTTTGACAGATACATACCTGACAAGCTTCACAATTAAAGTATGTGAAAGAGGGCGTTAACACAGTATTCACAGATTATAATTATTAATAAGATAGACAGAGTTTGACAGAGTTTCATCTGGCCTTGACACCAAACTAAGACATTTTGACAGACAGAGACTAGAGGAAATCCAGGCTACCAAATTAGGTGAAAGCAGAGTGAGTGAGTAGCTGTTATTAAATATAGTGTATTTTCAGGACAGGAACACATATAATTCCTCTCCACCTGACTCAATTATATATCTGTATCAGTTATAAGTTAGTTTCTGATTTCAGTAATTGTACAACCCCAAACAACATCCTAAAGACTTTGTCCCCTGGTACTAGCTTCACCATGGTGTATTGACATACCAAGGTAGTACCTTCCAAACTTATGTCAGTGATGACCAAATAATCATAATTATTGAATATAATCATTTTTCTGATATTTTGCACGATTCAATTAAAGGGAATTTACAGGTTATGTAGTGGGATCTGGTTGGATTTTGTTGTTGTTAAATATATGTATATATATACTACTAAAATTATAATAAATCAAGTGTTATCAGCAATGATTATTGGTACAGTGTATAATGAAGTGGTTCAAGTGGTATCTTATTTTTTGCTTTACATTGCTCGACAACACTTAAATGCGGTAACGTAGAGCTGCTGACGACGAGCTGATTTATAAATATGTAGGTAGAAGGCCTGGTATTAATATTACAACTAACTTAGACAATTGTTTACCTTACATAATACTGTACTGCACTTCGTGTCATACCTACGACTATGTGTTTAATTGTGCAAGATAATCAAAATGACAGCTAATAAATTAATATATACCTGAAACTCTCAGCATAAAATTGACGATGCTTCCTTCTGATACTGATCTGAGGCACCGGCTCTTGTCATATTAGAAACCTAAAATGGTCCTACTTTACTCGCTTGATTTCCTGTTATCTCGTGACTACCATTCTTTATTTATTACGGAGTTGTCTCCACTTCCATGCTTATTCGGAACACCCTTTGAGTTCGGAAGTTCTCTTGGTTCTTCATATGAAAACCACGTGACACACGTTTTCACAACGTTATCGCCATTTTTCCCTTGTGGAAGGCGCACACAAGTTTGGAAAGAAAACAACAACCGAAGCACAGGTAACTGGTGTTAAAATAATGATAACATCTACGTAACAACAAACAACGGTTACATGTTTACTACTTTAGATATTTTGAGCTGTAGATTTACAATATCCATTGCAGAAATTGTCTCCAAAAGAAAGCTGAAGGTACCGGCCTTGTAAATCTTTCTAAATTTGTATCAAAACTTAAAACATTCTCCCTGTGATGCTGTCTAGTTCACTTACGTTGCACAATTGCTACACTGAGTAGTCAATAACTACTTTCGTTTCCTCGTGTTTTTGCATTTAAATTCTCAACTGCGGACCTGGCTGTGAGACGAGGGCTTATAAATAATTGGAGAACAAATTGTGTTTGAACAGTGTTATTGTGTATGATATGTCTGTATTTTGAAAAAAAATATATGTGAAAATACGTTTTACAAATTGATGAACATAAGGTCAAATGCAATGAATCCTAGTCATTTCAGAAAAACCACAGATAATTGTGTAAGTTACCAGGTCCAGTACTAGTACACTCTGCCAATAGAGCTATTTTCATATGAATTTCTTTTTTAAGGAAAACGAACCAAAGTCGCTATTAAAAGAATATTGTATCATTAGGTTGATAGTAAAACATTAAATATAACTATTCTTTATAAAAAATGATGATGTAAAAAAAAAATGGAAATTTTACATTTATGAAAAATGAAAATAAACATCTAACTTTATGCAGTCAAAATTACCATAAACCTTATTGTTTTATGCGGCTTTAACGTAGTGAAAATTTAAATCTGAGAAAATATAGCTCAATACAGCTATAATGTATAGGTGAATATAGCTCAATCAGCAGAGTGTACTGGACCTGGTTACACTTGGTGTTGCTCATTTTGTTAATTCATATGGAATGCATCAATAAAAGGTTACAGCTGCTGGTAACGGTTAAATTGGCACCATGATGAAACCAGTATACTTGACTTTATCTGAATAAAGATGTTGAAGTCATATAAGATGGACCAAACAATAGGTTTGAAATGCATAGATATACTCATTAAAAACATTATAAATTCTTTATCAATACAGTGCATTTAAATGATTTTTGTTCAGGAGCCACAGACTCTGTCTTCCATGGTTTATTATTTTCCATTGGATTCCAAGTTAGTTAATATTAGTTACCCAAATTTTTATTTTTATGATTTCAATGAAATGTTGCTTACAGCTCAAGAACTCTTCAGTGTTCATGAAGTACATTTCAGTATTCAATTCAGTAGCCCCTCCCCCTCAACATGAGAAATGTAAGATTTTAGTCCTGTGAATATACTTGATATATATATCATATATATCATGTATATAAGTATATATTTGATGATTACTAATGTATCAATTTTAAATTTAAATTTGCTTTTGGCTAGGTCTCTACATTAATTTTGGAGTCATTTCCAATGTTTGAATTTGATGTTAAAATATATTTTTTTTGTATTTTTTTTCAGGGAGCCTTTGATAAGTATCCCTGACCAGAGAGAGAGAATCACTATGGCATTCCCATACATGATAGGGCCTGGGGGTCAGCCCTTTATCATCCAGCAGATACCTATGATCCCCCAGCCAGTATTACAGGTTCCGCCCCAGCAGATGCCCCCTCCTGTAGCCCCTCCCCCTCAACAGCCGAAAGTGCCTGATTATATGTCTGAGGACCGTCTAAATGAGAAATGTAAGATTTTAATCCTGTGAATATACTTGATATGTATATCATGTATATAAATATATATTTGATGATTACTAATGTATCAATTTTAAATCTATACAGTATTGTTTCTTCTATATTGTAGCAAAGAATTCAAATGAATAAAAGACTTATTTTGGCTAGGTCAGGGCTCACCCTGGACTTAAAAAAATGAGTAGCCAATTTTTTTTTAAAACAGTGGCCATATTTTCTCAGCCTCCAACCGTTACGGATAGCTTTAATTATAAGAAAATATGACTTAAATTAAAATGCTGAAAATTTCCACCAGAACTTTTTTAATTCTTTTCAAAAGAGAGAAAAATCAGACTATATCTCATTTTCTTGACACAGGAATTGTGGGAAAAAAAATAAAGATATTATTCGCCTTTAATTGTGGGCTAGATAGTCTAATTCCGTGCCTTCAAGCTAAAAATAAAACTAATAAAAATCCAAATCAAAAGTAGCCTCAGTGATGCATATTGATAATTATTTTTCCTGGGTTTACATTCACTGTAATTCGTGTTTTATGTAAAAAAAAAAAAATCATTTGAAAGGAAAAGGACCAATTTATGACAGTATTAACCACTGCGAGCCCTGTAGGTTTTTGTGGAGATTGCCTTGTTGAAAAATCTTTGCTGTTTTGTTCGTCTTTGCTGTTTTGTTCATGGCAACGTCTGGGGGGAAAAAAGAGAAAACTTCATTTCACTTTTACAGTTTGAACTGGTTTTTGTGTTTCAGCGCATAAATGGACACAACTTCAGTCCAAGCGCTACAGCGAGAAAAGAAAATTTGGATTCGTAGATGCACAGAAGGAACACATGCCACCAGAACAAGTCCGAAAAATTATCCGAGACCATGGTGACATGACAAACAGAAAGTTCCGACACGATAAGAGAGTTTATCTTGGGTATGTACATCAAGTATTATTCATCATTATGCTTTATAATAGCAATAATAGAGGGAAAAACAATTTTACATTTTATAACCCAAAAAATTGAAAATTGATTTTGTCTGTTCAGTAGACAGGAGAATTATGCCTCTTAGAAAGATAAAAAATTAAATGTGTTGTACTGGAACCACTTTTGACAGTGCCCTGAAGTTTATGCCACACGCTGTCCTTAAGCTAATGGAGAACATGCCGATGCCATGGGAACAGATTCGTGATGTTGACGTATTGTTCCATCTCACAGGAGCCATCACCTTCGTCAACGAGATACCCTGGGTCATTGAACCTGTGTATATAGCACAGTGGGGGTAAGTATCACGACTCTGTAGGGAAATTGAAATAATAATTGGCTGTAGTAATTGTGTATGTCTGTTCTAGATTTTAATTTTGTTGGAGTTATTGGCAGTTCTTTTTCAGAAACCTCTCCACACATCAAAGATTGAATCAGATTAAATATAAGGAATGTTTGCCGGATCTCAACTTAACACCACCACCCATAATGAGTTGATTATGTACGATCGATTATGTAAAGCACTGTGGATGCTAATGTAGGTACCCAGCATGTCTAGATAAGACTAGAGTGAACAATTATAAATCTTCAAATTTTGGTTTAAGGGTTCAGTGAGGAAACCTGAAATCGGTTATCTGAACCTTTCTGCTTTATTATTCAGGAACACATTTTTTTTTTACACGAAAACCTCTGTCGAGTATTATATCGCATGAAATAGCCCTTACAGTACAGAACTCATTACATGGTATTTAATTCTGTTCTTGACCTTCAGATCGATGTGGATCATGATGCGACGAGAGAAAAGAGATCGTCGTCACTTTAAAAGAATGCGTTTCCCACCATTTGATGATGAAGAACCGCCATTGGACTATGCAGACAACATCCTTGATGTAGAGCCGTTGGAAGCCATTCAGATGGAGCTGGACTCGGATGAAGACAAACCTGTCATGGAGTGGTTCTATGACCACAAGCCACTCACAGAATCGAGGTATGTATACAAAAGGGCTATTATACTAGTCACCAACTGAATGTAGATATCCCTCCAAGCCATTCACACTAAACAAAATCTGCGTACAGGCCACTCCCAGACTCCAATAGCTTATGAATTACTAATAGAGCTTATCATATGCAGGTACGTGGGATACTGTTATTGTACCCTGGGGTGCAGAATTTGGTGTCAAAACTCAAATTCTACATCCTCGGGTAGAATATCCATATGCCACGACGTACATAATGATCGACTCTTCCTCCCACCTCTTTACTGAAATTTTGGTAAGCAGGACATAGTGTAATTTAAACACTTAATGAAAATGTAGGGTTTACCTCAAACTAAAGACCAGGGAACGATTGTACCACAATTTTTGAAGTGGTGTCACAGTCAGTCTCAAAATGTTTGGACGTTTTTTCAATTTACATTATAATCAAATAATGTCATCTGATTGTGATGTCATAATAGTACAGGTCACTAAGCGCACCCATTTGGAATACATGTATGCCCACATTGGCATTCCTCACGGGACACATGTACCTTTCCTATGTAAAGGTGCGAGAAATGTATATATATAATGCCTTTTCAGATCTTTTATCATTTATGTCATTATTTTTTTAATTGGTTAGGAATATATAATAAACCAGGAACAAGTCTGCTTTTTTCTGACAAAATTCAGTTTGAAAATTAGTATATGGAAATGTGTATTTTCAGTTATAGATGTATAGTATTATTTAGTGATATGTCTGTGTTCTTGTGCTGTAGAAATGTGAATGGCACTACGTACCGCCGCTGGGGACTGACACTGCCCGTGATGTCAGTATTGTACCGTCTGGCCAATCAGCTTCTCACAGATCTGGTCGACTACAATTACTTCTACCTGTTTGATCTCAAATCCTTCTTCACAGCCAAGGCACTTAACATGGCCATTCCCGGAGGACCCAAGTTTGAACCCCTGGTTAAGGACAAGGAACACCAGTAAGTCATATTTCTTTTGTTCTTTTTAAATGTAACTTTGATATTTTTTCTTCTTTTATTTCATACTTAAATTGCATTTTAGAAAACAAAAAAGTGATGAGATTTTACCAATTGATTCATCTATAAGTTACACTACTATACAGGGTCATATAGGCCAAGCTTGGTCTGTTAATTTGATTTTAATGGCCCACTGGTGATATTATATTGTCCAAAGATCTAATTTTATTGGCCCATCAATAGTTTTAATGACTCATCAATGATTGTAATAGCCCATAAGGAATCAAATCCAGTGTCACACCGTGATGTTTAAGTCGTTACATTGTATGTGAATTTGGTAATTTAAGTAAAATAGATTGACAAAAGAGTAAAGTATAAGGTACATGGCAATTGTTTTCAATAAGATTCATCATTTTGGAAATATGTGATATCAAAGTTTTACTTTCTACACAACGCAGCTTTTCAAGACTGACTGGTCCCTTTGTCAAGCTATGACTCGCATAGCTTGACAAAGGGACCAGTCGGTCTTAAAACGTTGCGACACATTTAATACGAACAATGTTTGTGAAGGAAGTAAAACTTTGATGTATTATATGGCAATTGTTTAATTCTGGGTTTTAAATCTTACACTTGTAGGGATGAAGACTGGAATGAGTTCAACGACATCAACAAGATCATTATTAGACAGCCAATCAGGACGGAGTATCGCATTGCCTTCCCGTACCTATATAACAGCATGCCCTACAAAGTACACCTGTCCTGGTAGGCACAAACCATTTATCTAGTTTTATGAAATTAAAATGTTGATATACTCTGTTGTTGAAAACCTTAAATTTCAGAAATTCTGTGATATAAGTGGTTACATTGGTCAGTCATTTGTATGCTGTTTTACCTGCAGGTGTTTATACCAAACTGTGAAGGTGGTCTTCGTTTAACAAGGGTGTGTGGGTTTGGGAGGGGGTCGTAACCATTGTGCATTATTGCAGAATAATTTAATCTTGCTTGTAACAAGCATTTTCATTGCTTAAAATTTGTGTTATCAGCCCATAACGTAAAATTTTTAAGAGAAAAGAGTCCATCAATGAAAGTGGATTTCCACAGGGATTGTGTATAGTAGATTAAATTGTAAGGATTAACTTGAATATATTTTTCATGTTACGGAGCTATAACACAAAAAAAACGGAGTGTACTCTCATTGTAAACCGCTTCTTGTAAACCGCTTCGCGGTTTATTTAGAGTACACTCCGTTTTTTTGTGTTATATCACCATAACATGAAAAATATATTCAAGTTAATCTTTAAATAAAACCGATGTATAAAAATCCTTTATTTAGAGCTCTCAGGAACACACATACCCACTTGTACAGCTACCTTTGTGGTGCTGTGTGTGAAGATGTGATAAAGAAAATGACACTTGCGCATTCTGTGGCACTAAGATCTAACCACAGGAGCTGAAATTTGTCACACATACAAAGTTCTTTAAGGGTTTTCCATATTTATATATGTATCTTTGGGGCAGAAATTCAGCCCCATGTATAAGGTGATTTAGACACTTTGTTCTCAATACAAAATTGTTAAAGAAAATGTCAAGAACTGAAATCTAAGTTTTAACATGCTTCTAAAAGAACACAATTTGATTTACTACTTGTCCTTAAAGATACTAAATACTTTATAGCAAGTGAAGCAGCACTGTACTGGGCCAATCGTAGAAGACCAGGTAGATCAATTAGTAGAGCATTCATCTTGTGTTCATAGGTCTAGGGTTTAAATCCTGGTCTGACCATACATTTCTCATGGAAAACTCAACAGAAAATCATATGCTCTTGTTTAAAAGGAAAATAGATCAAAATGCTTTGATATGCCCTCAGTTTTTCCAATCAAGATCACAATTCACGAATAAGAAGAAAGACTTTTGATTTTGAAGGAAAAGCACTTTTTAAGAAGGCCACCATAAAAATGTTAATTATCGAAGACCGGAACCATCAAATATAGATTTAATATTTTGAAATGATGGAAATATATTTATAAAATTATGAAATAATCTCAAATCAGTGCAATTGTTAATTATTGTATATGTCTATGGAGATGGTGATTATATTGTGGTATGTTCATAAGGTACCACACCCCCAATGTTGTGTACATCAAGACGGAGGACCCCGATCTGCCAGCATTCTACTTTGATCCCCTCATCAACCCCATTTCTCACAGACATGCTGCCGTTAAGGTAAATAGTTTGCTGCTTCTCCTCGGTATTATTAATCTGGTTACTTTCTTGCATGGTGGGAAACTTCCGTGTATTGGAAAGGAAAAGAGAAAAAAATAGTACCTAACAAACATTGAGTTTAAAGCATGTAGTTTTCAGTAGTATGTGTGCAGATGTCTCAATATGCATTACAAATTCTGAGATATTGTCTAGTTGAAAATCTATTGGTGGTGGAACAAAGACATGAGGAAAAGTTGGATGATGGGAAAGAGTTTCCTATTTATGATCCGACTCATCAGCAAAATACTCACCAACTGTGTTATTTACAGTCGGAGATTCTTCCTGACGATGATGAGGAGTTTGAGCTGCCAGACTATGTCCAGCCATTCATGCAAGAGACACCGCTGTACTCTGACAACACAGCCAACGGGATTGCCCTGCTGTGGGCCCCTCGACCTTTTAATCTGAGGTCGGGTCGTACACGCCGCGCTATGGACATTCCACTGGTCAAGGCTTGGTAAGTAGTTAACTGTGTCCTCCTCATTAAAGCATTACTCGGTATACAATATCATAGAAAGATGTTGAGTTGCTGTGCCCTGCCATCTAGTTGCAGTTGAGTAGATCAAGGCCACAAAAACTTATGAATTAGCTTTCAAGTTCTTGTCGGCATTTACTTTGTACAAAATATAAACTATAACAAAAGCACTGGATACATACTTATCTGATGATATAAAGCCATATTTACGATAGAAAATTATTTTGAGCGTTCTCAAATTCAGAATATATATATAAACAAATTCTCATACATCACTTTCAAAGCAATGAAAAGCAAAAAGCTCCGTCTGGACAAGTAATGACAAATGACCGCTAAACACTTAGCTTTTGTGTCCGACTGTTTTGCGTATCAATGACCTCAATGTTTAAAAAAAATCCTACTAGTATTCTTATGGTGCAAATAATTCATCTGTAAAATGTTAGAAACAATTTTGTTCTGCCACTTTAAAATGAACTAATCACATGCGGTTTTGTTTTTGTTTAGGTACCGAGAACACTGTCCATCAGGCATGCCTGTCAAGGTGCGCGTGTCCTACCAGAAACTGCTCAAGTACTTTGTCCTGAATGCCCTCAAACACAAGCCACCAAAGGCTCAGAAGAAAAGGTAAGTGGAGACATACAGAATGTTTCATAACATGTAGTGATGGATCAAGAGACTGGTTTTATTTTGTATTTCAAATGAGATAATTTTGAGAAGAACAATTTTGAAAGAAAACTAAGGTAAATTTTAGTTTAAGAAGAAGAATGTATCCAGAAAGTCTAGCCTGATCATTCAAATCAATCATTCAGATTTTGTGGATATGTGCATTTTTAGTTTTACAGTTTTAAGTTTTAAATAGCTTGATATACTGTAATTTATTTAAAATAGATTCAAAAGTATATTTATAAAATGTTGAATTATATCAAATATTAGATGTGTGTATTCATAAATGAAAGTAGGGGTGAGATTAAAATTAAAGATTTATCCACTTGGCACTTCCAGGTACCTGTTCCGGTCTTTCAAGGCAACAAAGTTTTTCCAGACAACTCAGCTGGACTGGGTGGAGGTGGGACTTCAGGTGTGTCGTCAAGGTTACAACATGTTGAACCTCCTTATCCATCGAAAGAACCTCAATTATCTCCATCTCGACTACAATTTCAACCTAAAGCCTGTCAAGACCCTCACGACCAAGGTAATGTCTACAAAAAAAGGTGTTTATAGAATTTGTCTTTGAAACTTGTGTGTATAAAGTAAATCAAATGTTTGAAAGACAGTTTAATGAAAATTAGGATCAGTTTCTTATTTAAACTAAGCATGCGGAAAATGATAACTGTGATGTCACAATGAAAAAAAGTGACAATTTTCATATCTGCTGACATCACAACAAAAAGCAATATCATCTGATACGTTATTTAGAAACTTAAAGCAAATTGTGATTGGCTGTTGCATTTCCGAACAAAATCTTGTTAAAATTGGAAAGAGATTTGATCAGGACTGTATATCACCAAGTTTGTTCTGTGGAGTGACCAGTTGATAATAGTAACTGTGCTCTTTAATTTGATATTAGATTTGTTTATATCATGATGTTGCAAAAACTTCCTTTTTGAAAATATAGGAAAGAAAGAAGTCCAGATTTGGAAACGCATTCCATCTGTGTCGTGAGATTCTTCGTCTGACCAAGCTGATCGTGGACAGTCATGTGCAGTATCGCCTTGGAAACGTTGACGCCTTCCAGGTAACAACAGAATTTCCGGAAGATTTCTGGAATCCGTGAACAATTTTGGGCAATTTACGTTTGTGTGAAACAGAAGATGATAAAATAAAGAGAAGATGTTTTTAGTAATTACTTGGAGGGTAAAATTCTGTGAATTGAGCAGACATCAAAATCATTGACATTTTCTGTTTTTCACTGTCAGACTTAGGACTTGGTTGTAAAATGTTTTTATCATTTTGATGGGATATATCTAGCAGACTGACACTAGTACCTGATAACCATTTTGATGGGATATATCTAGCAGACTGACACTAGTACCTGATAACCATTTTGATGGAATATATCTAGCAGACTGACACCAGCACCTGATAAACATTTTATCTCAGTGTTTTGGAATGGATCCTGGATCCCAATTTGAAAAAAAATATTCTGTGCAAAACTCGAAAAAATGTGAGGTATTGAGAATTTGTCGTAAAGCCTGTTGTATAGTGGTGTAAATATGGTGTTGTATAAGGGTTTTTTGTTTATCAATACAGCTAGCTGACGGCCAGCAGTATGTGTTTGCTCATGTTGGCCAGCTGACTGGGATGTACAGGTACAAGTACAAGTTGATGAGACAGATTCGAATGTGCAAGGACCTCAAACACGTCATTTACTACAGATTTAACACGGTAAGTGTCACTCTTAATTTAATCTACTATACACAATCCCTGTGGAAATCCACTTTTATTGATGGACTCTGATTTTCAATGCCAAATAATAGATTTCAATGCCAAATAATAGATTTAATCTACTAGAGATTCTCATAATGCCAAAAGGAATGCGAATTTGAAAATTTTATAGTGATTTTACTCATAAATTCTTTTGGTAAATTGGTCTCTCATTGAACTAGACATTCATGAGTATCAAATTAACAAGTTTTGGAAATCCCTAACAGAATGTCTACTGTAATATGAATTATATGGCGATGTCTCAATGTATATAAAACATTGCTTCCCTAGGGACCAGTTGGTAAGGGACCCGGCTGTGGTATCTGGTCTCCTGGCTGGAGGGTATGGCTTTTCTTCATGCGTGGCATTACACCTTTACTAGAACGTTGGCTTGGCAACCTGCTGTCCCGTCAGTTTGAGGGGCGACACTCCAAGGGAGTGGCAAAGACGGTCACCAAGCAACGAGTTGAGAGTCATTTTGATCTGGAGCTCAGGGCGGCGGTAAGTACAACAGTATTTCAAGCTCTCTATAGAGGTGTTTGATAGCCCTGATGTACTACTATGTATAGGTTCAACATCCCACATTACAGCAACATGTGTCAATACATTGCAACATTTTGGGAGTATTGAGCCAAACATTTACTGTTCTACTCCATGTATCCTGAATTTTAGATAAAATACTGTATTTTGTGAAACTTTCATTCAATAAAATATTTGCCCGTTAGTAAAATCCATATAAGCCTTATATTAATATTCAATGTCATAAATTAAATATTTTAAATAATAAAATTCTAAGGGCTATTCCAGTTAAAAATGTCACCCACTAGCAGACTTCCCTTTTTTCAAAGGGGTACCACCAACAGAAGCGATTTCTTTCAGATTGCCAGATGGAATAGAAGTGTTTTCTTCCTTTAGAACACCACTCATAGAAGCAGTTTTTTTAAGTCAATGAAACAATCACCCACAGAAGTGATTTTTTAATCGATGAAGCAACCGCCCACAGTACTCCTATAACATAAGAGGCCACTGGTCCTTTTTTCTATCGGATATGATTTTGCCGACTGCGACCTTTTATTTTCGAAGCACTAATTCTTTGATCCAGATTTCGGGCAGAACAAAATCGGCTTGAAAAACTCACTTTAGTGGTTCACAGTTCATGACAACGATGTCTACTCATGGTTTATATAATATTTATCCCATATGTATGCCACAGACACAAATATATAGTATATTACGGAATAGAACACACAAAATGCATGTCTTTGTCGTTGTATCACTTCTCTGACCTACCTTTACAACATGGTTTATTGGGTTGATACAAAATAGTAGAGGGGGTTTCAAATGGAACGAAATGATACAGAGTTTGTTTGTATTCCGTTTGTAGAACATTGCATGTAATCCATTTTTGTATAACCGGGAAATCACAGCCAGTGCTGTCTGAGGAAAAACTAATTATTTATGTCTTTGACATGAAATTCTTCTCATTTAATCATGGATTTATGGAAAGGAATATTTATTGGACCCTGTTCCCATTTTGGCTCTGCTCGAACTCTCGTCTAACATCTCTTATTTCGGGATTTAGAGTTGCCTCCCTTACACAGCACGGAACGGCAAAAAAGAACGCAGACAATATTGTACATTACCTGATTACTTTGAAAGAATAACACGAACGAATAATATGTTCTGGCATCATAGCACAGAAGCGATCTATTTCTCAAAACAGGACACAGAAAGTTTTTTTATTTTCAATAATTGCTACCAGGAACAAAAGTGATTTTTTTCATTTTATGACATGGTATACGAGTGATTTTCTGTCGACTCCCACCTGGAATAGAAGTTTTTTTCATGAATGTCCGCTAGTGGGTGATATTTTTAACTGGAATAGCCCTAAGGATCATAATTTGTCTAAAGCAATTACAATCACATAAGCAAGCAATACATTGGATAACAAAATGGACTAATTTGAAGGCACATCAGACAAAATGTCATGTTAAAGTTTGTCTTGCTTTACAGGTGATGCATGACATCCTAGATATGATGCCAGAGGGAATCAAACAGAACAAGGCCAGGACCATCCTACAGCATCTGAGTGAAGCCTGGAGGTGCTGGAAGGCCAACATCCCTTGGAAGGTAGGCTTCATACTGGTACACATAGATTTGCTTAGACCAAGGGAAACACACCCAACACACCCAGAATGGCTTAGACCAAGGGAAAAAAACCCAACACACCCAGAATGGCTAATTATACCAAGGAAACACACCCAGAATGGCTTAGACCAAGGGAAACCCACCCAACACACCCAGAATGGCTTAGACCAAAGGAAACACACCCAGAATGGCTTAGACCAAGGGAAATACATCCAACACACCCAGAATGGCTTAGACCAAGGGAAAAAAACCCAACACACCCAGAATGGCTAATTATACCAAGGGCAACACACCCAACACACCCAGAATGGCTAATTAGACCGAGGGAAACACAACCAGAATGGCTTAGACCAAGGGAAACACATCCATCTCCCAGAATGGCTTAGACCAAAGGAAACACACCCAGAATGGCTTAGACCAAGGGAAATACATCCAACACACCCAGAATGGCTTAGACCAAGGGAAATACATCCAACACACCCAGAATGGCTTAGACCAAGGGAAACCCACCCAACACACCCAGAATGGCTTAGACCAAGGGAAAAAAACCCAACACACCCAGAATGGCTAATTATACCAAGGAAACACACCCAGAATGGCTTAGACCAAGGGAAACACCCCCAACACACCCAGAATGGCTTAGACCAAGGAAAACACACCCAACACACCCAGAATGGCTAATTAGACCAAGGGAAACACACCCAACACACCCAAAATGGCTTAGACCAAGGGAAACACATCCAACACACCCAGACTGGCTTAGACCAAGGGAAACACATCCAACACCCAGAATGGCTTAGACCAAAGGAAACACACCCAGAATGGCTTAGACCAAGGGAAACCCACCCAACACACCCAGAATGGCTTAGACCAAAGGAAACACACCCAGAATGGCTTAGACCAAGGGAAATACATCCAACACACCCAGAATGGCTTAGACCAAGGGAAATACATCCAACACACCCAGAATGGCTTAGACCAAGGGAAACACCCCCAACACACCCAGAATGGCTTAGACCAAGGAAAACACACCCAACACACCCAGAATGGCTAATTATACCAAGGAAACACACCCAGAATGGCTTAGACCAAGGGAAATACATCCAACACACCCAGAATGGCTTAGACCAAGGGAAAAAAACCCAACACACCCAGAATGGCTAATTATACCAAGGGAAACACACACAACACACCCAGAATGGCTAATTAGACCAAGGGAAACACAACCAACACACCCAGAATGGCTAATTATATACCAAGAGAAACACACCCAACACACCCAGAATGGCTAAGACCAAGGGAAACACATCCAACACACCCAGAATGGCTAATTATACCAAGGGAAACACACCCAACACACCCAGAATGGCTAATTAGACCAAGGGAAACACAACCAGAATGGCTTAGACCAAGGGAAACACACCCAACACACCCAGAATGGCTAATTATATACCAAGAGAAACCCACCCAACACACCCAGAATGGCTTAGACCAAGGGAAACACACCCAACACACCCAGAATGGCTTAGACCAAGGAAAACACAACCAACACACCCAGAATGGCTAATTATATACCAAGAGAAACACACCCAACACACCCAGAATGGCTTAGACCAACGGAAAGATTCTGTCTTTTTCAAGTCTTTGAAGAACATTGTGAATTGCAGTCAAAACATCCAACACATGCAGAAGAAATATCTGTGTCCTCCCTGACCCAGTTCCAGTTAAGGAACTTCTTATGTCAGTAGTACTTCTTTCCTATAGAAATCGTTTTGGAATTCCATTTAGTAAAGAAATGTTCATGAAACTGGGGTCTGTCATGATAGAGCTTCTTTGAGAAATTAGTTAAGTGCAGTCTAAAACTAGAATAAAATGTCTCTGTTTCCTAAGCTGTGTACACTTTAAATTTTCACAACAGGGTTATTTTCTCAATACAAAGAATATACAAATCCAACATGGCAGCAAATAGATGTTTAAGAAAGTAGTGCTTGAAACCTAACCTTCTTGAAACAGCTTATTCAGCAGTGTTTATGTTTACTCAGAAATAACATGGAAAGAGAACACAGCTGAGTACAGTATCGCAAATCTCAACAAAAGTTATTTGTACCCATTTAGGGGGGAAAGAATATCTTTTTTTACCCTCCACAAAGGAAGTTTAAGGGGGGAGTATATAGGAATCACCCTATCCGTCTGTCTGTCTGTCTGTCCTCAAACCTCGTAATTAGCACGACTCCACCTAAACTGTTCTTTGGATTTTGTTTGCAACTTCACACAGTGAAAATACATCATATGTAGATGTGTATGATAAAAGGAATTTGCAATTCGACGATATTCTTGAAACTTGAATTTCTGCTCCGGTAATGTTATAAGTACAACTTAAGATGAGATAACTGTTTACTGGATTTTTTGTAACTTGGGACATCAAAAGTACATCACATGCAGATTTGTATGAAGGAAGGGATTTGTGAAAAGCGTATTGTACCCACGTTAAACAGATTTTTAAAACCAAGATAGAATGAAGCCAGGACACAGCTATGTGAGCTTGAGTTTCTCTGGTGTTTGCAGTACCACTTTCTATGAAAAACATTAGTTAGCCACTGTCTTCGATACTGACATATCTGTGAAGACTTGAAGGCAATGTCTCGTGAGATTTTCTTGAATCCTGTTTGTATTCAATTTTCATTTAGCCTTGATTTCAAAAACTTCTGCACAGACCAATCCATTGGTGTGAATTCACTGAAAAACATTTTCTTCCTAACAGGTGCCCGGACTGCCGATACCCATTGAGAACATGATCTTGCGATATGTGAAAGCCAAAGCAGATTGGTGGACGAACACCGCCCATTACAACAGGGAACGAATCAGAAGGGGTGCCACTGTAAGTACCCAACAAGCTCAGGCAATTCTGAACATTAGAAAAAGAAACAAAAGAAAATTTGTAAGGTTATACCAAAAATAATTGATGGGATATAAGGTGAGTTCAAATAGACCCCATCACCTTTTTCAATTCGCTACCTTCCTGGTGCTAAATTTGAATTTCACAAAAAAAATATGGAAACTATGCGAGACTTGCAGGCCAAAAATATATAGGTTTACAGATGTTTATGGGTATTTCCTGTGTGATGACATGCCAATAACGTTTCCTCCCCTAGGTTGACAAGACCGTGTGTAAGAAGAATTTGGGTCGCTTAACTCGTCTGTACCTGAAGGCCGAGCAGGAGAGACAACACAACTACCTGAAGGACGGCCCCTACATCACAGCTGAGGAAGCCGTTGCCATCTACACGACCACAGTCCACTGGCTTGAGAGTCGACGATTCTCCCCCATCCCGTTCCCACCTCTCTCTTACAAACACGACACCAAGCTCCTTATTCTGGCTTTGGAGAGGTTAAAGGAAGCATATAGGTAAGATGTTCCATACTGTCTAGTAGAAATAGAGAAGAAAAAACGTACTCCGGCCTCTTAATCTGGCTTTGGTGAAAGTAAAATAATTAGATACTGTATAACACGAAATGTTTGTTGTTTATAAACTTTCGTGGTTTTCGTGGTTGCTATTGAACCACGAAAAATAAACACAACGAATTTGAATGATATATGTGTCTACTATTTGTAGATATAGGATATCCACGAAAGTTTGTACCACGAAACAATCTAAATAGCTTCAAACCAGGAAGGAAAGTACCAACGAACATTTCGTATTATAAACATATTTCCTATCCCTTCCTCTTTTCTACAACCATCCCATCAAGCACCACATGCTGGTCCTACAGCATTTGAGAAAGAAAGTATGGACAGTTATTACCAAATTTTTACCTTTGGTAATATTTTGTCTGTCAAAGGAAAGGAAGCGATAATTTTTTTATGTATACATTCGAAACCGATCTACATTTTGAACTACCATTTTAAAAAAATCGACAATTTGGGTGTACTACAGATCACCTATCAAAAAGATATAATCTTGCTTTGAGTACATTATTAAGTTGTCGCCCATACTAGTTATTCTGGAATATGTTATATTGAAGTATTGTGAAATACTGGCTATCCAATAGGGGTTAAAGACAATTTACAAAAACCTACCGTAGTCACACACTCGGTGGAAAATTTTGGCAGTGAGCCGGTCAAATGAAACCGGGGTAGCTAACATTGTTTTGCTATAGTCTTAGCTGTTTTCTATGTGCAGGGGTGTACCATTCCATAAGCCAGATGACTAGGGTTTATAGTAGGTTTTATATCCAGGCTTGTGAAGATTTCGAAATTTACTATGAAATTATAGATCAGACTCGTGGAATTTTTCAAAATCTGCCTACAGGCTTGTACTCTATAGTATATATGAAATTGTATACTCCTGGTGTGATAACTAACTATTCATTGTCTGAATTACAGTGTGAAGAGCCGTCTTAACCAGTCACAGAGGGAGGAGCTGGGACTGATAGAACAGGCCTACGACAATCCTCACGAGGCTCTGTCTCGTATCAAACGTCATCTACTCACTCAGCGAGCCTTCAAAGAGGTCAGTATAGTAACATACTCTATCCCGCGAGTAACATACTCTATCCCGCAAGTGTGTCAAAGTACTCCAAACATTTGATTAGTAAATGAGGTTTAGATCTTTCTCACCTTATAGTGGAAGGGACTCAAAACATTTGATTGATAAATGAGGTATGGATATTCCTCGCTTCAAATTTAGAAAAAAATCACTTTTAATTTTATTTCAATAATACCTACCCTTGTGTATATATGCTTTTCTCATGTTGCCGGTTGATAGGTTGGTATTGAGTTTATGGACCTGTATAGCCATTTGATTCCTGTGTATGACGTTGAACCACTGGAGAAGATCACAGACGCCTACCTTGACCAGTATCTATGGTACGAGGCTGACAAACGACGTCTGTTCCCACCCTGGATCAAACCTGCAGACTCGGAGCCACCTCCACTCCTCACTTATAAGTGGTGCCAGGGTGAGTCTTAAGTTACTGGATATAAGTTGATGTACTGGTGTATGTAGGGCCCCGTTTCGCGTATCCGGTTCAACCTCAGTTCAGTTGAAACGGTTGAACCTGGAAAGAAAACGACAGGCGCAAATCTAAACCGAAGCTGACCTCAGGAATATTTGGCACGTGTAGATTGAGGGGTCCAGACATACCTGACCGAAATTAAAATGCTGACTATTGCTAGTTTTTGTTATTTCTTTATACAACAAGGTCAAGCCCTTGTAGATTTTAAGATATGCTCTATAATTTAGTGGACGCGTGTAAGAAGGACATATTATTCTTTATATATTGTTAGTTATTCTCCGAAACTTTGGATTGTCCTTACTGTATACAGACACAAAGCTGTTGTCCCACAGGATCGTGGTCACTGACCTCGGCAAACAATTCTTGATATCCCAGAACACTGCACGCCCCCTGTGTAACATAAATTTTCACCAATTAAATAGACTCCTTCTCCTGTGGTTCGGTCAAATTACGTTCGTTTATCGTGGAATATTTCTGTGCCACCTGAACCGTTTCAACCGGAATACGCGAATGTAACCTAAGATATATCTTATATAGGTGAGGGGGATGGGAAAATTCTATCCTTTTGAGTCAGAAAATAAAGGCTTCTACACAGCTACACCATCAGTCACTCATTCTCTGATATCTTGTCTTGAAACAAGTTAAGTTTTTGGTGAAAAGGATCACTTCCTTCACCATTCCATGCAGCTATGTGATTTCTGATTATATACTACAGATTTCACATTCTCCTTTGACATTTGTGTACTGATAAAGACATAATGATGATTTACAGGTGGACTGGTATAGGAACATTTCTTTTTTGTTAAAATATCTACTTTTATCATTGAGAAAAGATATACATTACTTGTTTTAGACAGACAAATAAGCAAGTTCTGATCCTGGTTGTTCAAAATTTACGAAAGAATTTGCATAACTTCAGTTTTACAGAAAATTATCCAGTTTTAAAAGATTCAACATTGAAATCACATTTAAAAAGACCATAGGACTTGAGTCATATAGAATGGCTCTTGGATCTGTGTTCTTTCTGTTGCATAGGGCTGTTGATTTTCATGTCCTCACTTTGTAATGGAGATCGGGGCATATAGTGTTACCAATGTCCCTTCCTGTCCCAATCCATTGGCATGACTCTTGCAACTTTATTGAGTGACAGATTTTCACTGAAGTATTTACAAAAGTCTTGCATGAGAATACCTCTGAGTAGTTGATATTTGTATCTCCCAATGTCAACCCACTGTTGCTATTTATAGGTCAACCACAGGGCCAAGTGGCATTCATTTTCCTGACAGATGTTTTCTGTATTTTTTTTCTTCTCATTTTCCCGTTTTCTCCGCAGGCATCAACAACTTACAGGATGTATGGGACACGAGTGAAGGAGAGTGTAACGTTATGATGGAGTCCCACTATGAGAAGATGTACGAGAAGATAGATCTGACACTGCTCAACAGATTGTTACGTCTCATCGTGGATCACAACATTGCTGATTATATGACAGCTAAAAACAACGTTGTCATTAACTATAAGGTGAGGCAAAGCGTTCTCTCAATTTCAGTCTTTAGGTGCTGCTACATATTTTGGCTTGCAGAATTTTCTACATTTGAAAATATAAGGCATTACATAGCTTTCCCTCAAGTTTGAGTTTTTGGGTGATTCTTCATAATTTGGCAGGAATGTTGGGGTTTTTTCACATTAAAAAAAGTTTTCATCTGAATTATATTGGGAAAAGAAAACATGTTAAAAAGGATTGAAATAATATTTTTTAAGAAGATAATTTGTTAGTTCAACATCATGATGTTTAAAATGAATGCAGTTTGGTCTTAAAAAATGTTAAAATATTGGTAACTGTGTGCTGTTATTATTACATTACTGTAATTGGTTTCTGATGCTGATCATGTTAAATTGATGTCATTCTCATGTAAACGTTTACAATGTTTGGGTATAAATAGCACATCCTTTAATTTCACAGGACATGAACCATACCAATGCTTATGGAATAATCCGTGGCCTCCAGTTTGCTTCGTTCATCGTGCAGTACTACGGCTTGGTACTGGACCTGTTGGTGCTGGGTCTACACCGCGCCAGTGAGATGGCTGGTCCACCTCAGCTGCCTAACGACTTTCTCACCTTCCAGGTGAGTCTCTTGGCATTTAAAATCATGATGATGAGAAAAATAGTTGCATTCTGGATGTTCTTTGTATTAAGCAAGATATTCTTGTTTCTCAGAAATTTTAGAAATAGACAAAAAACGAATTGTCTGCAGGTACAGGCCAAATATGTCTCATGAATATATTTCTTTACACAGGATTTTGTTTGATATTTTTATGTAAATAATGCTTTGTGTAAAAATTAATGCCCGTATTTGTGTTGTAAAATTAATGCCTTTAGTTATGTTGTAAAATAATGCTTTGATTTTTGTTGTAAAATTAATGCCTTAATTTGTGTTGTAAAATTAATGCCTTTATTTGTGCTGTAGGATGTGAATACCGAGGCTGCCCACCCTATTCGTTTATACTCACGTTACATTGATCGGATACATATCTTCTTTAGGTAAGTCAGAGTTCTTGTACACTTAACCCTGACCTCTCCTCAGTTGAATCTTTCCTCAGAAATTGTTCCTTACTTCATTCAGAAAAACTGATATTTCTGTAAATTGTTGATGGGACATGTTTTGAAGTTTAAAGGAATGATAATGACTTAATAAGCTAAAAAACAGATCAACATACAAAAAGATTTAGAAATATTTCTACCGAAAAATCTTCTTGCAGCTAAAATTTGGAATTCTGCTTGTGAAAGCAACCCATTTTAGATCATGAATACATATTTATAGACTTCATTATTGACAAATAATTTTGCTTTACCAGATTTTCTGCAGAAGAGGCCCGAGATCTTATCCAGCGTTACCTTACAGAACATCCTGACCCCAACAATGAGAACATAGTCGGATATAACAACAAGAAATGCTGGCCTCGAGACTCCAGAATGAGGCTTATGAAACATGACGTGAACTTGTAAGTCTGTTGTAGTTATGTGACAATGGATGAATTTTCAGTAGTTTTATATAAAAATGGATAAAAAAGGCTAAGATATACAAAATGAGATTTTATAGGCCAATGCTGAAATAATTCTAGATACATTCTTTGAAACACAGTCAAAGGTAGAAGTCCTCTTGAAAATCCATTTTCTACAAAGAACAGATGACTGTTCTACCTCTTGCTAGTGTATAGTTAAAATAAACCCATTCAATTTGAGTCAACATAAAAAACTGCGAGAGAGAGAAATTTAAACAATAAACCAGGTTTATAAACAACTACAGGGGACAAAAAACAATATTTCAGCTTGGCCAATACTTGATAGGAGAATGAGTCTATTTAATTGGTGAAAATTGATGTTACACAGGGGGCGTGCAGTGTTCTGGGACATCAAGAATCGTTTGCCGAGGTCAGTGACCACGATCCTGTGGGACAACAGTTTTGTGTCTGTATACAGTAAGGACAATCCAAACCTTCTGTTCAACATGTCTGGCTTCGAGTGTCGCATCCTGCCCAAGTGTCGCACAACACACGAGGAATTCACACACAGAGACGGCGTTTGGAATCTCCAGAATGAGGTCATTGTCACATACACATTGATTTGTTTTTCTAGATCAGTTAATTTTGGCAACAGTATCAATTTTCGAGTAAATAATAATTTCAATATTGATTTCTTGCATTTCAATCATGATTTCAAGATTTCTCAAAACTTGAATGGCGTAGTTTGCAAATACACAGAAAATTTATAGTGATTACAGGATGCCATTAATTCAGGTGAATCGGTGATTTTACGTTTTTTGGGATAACATTCCAGTATTTATAATAATGACACCTTTAACTTTTACAAAAACACAAAAAATGATAAAACCTCAGAAAAAAGGTACAGTTAACTGTTTCACATTAAAAAGTCTTATGCCCTATTAAAAGTCTTATGCCCCATTCAAAGTCTTATGCCCTATTAAAAGTCTTATGCCCTATTAAAAGTCTTATGCCCTATTAAAAGTCTTATGCCCCATTAAAAGTCTTATGCCCTATTAAAAGTCTTATGCCCTATTAAAAGTCTTATGCCCCATTAAAAGTCTAATGCCCTATTAAAAGTCTAATGCCCTATTAAAAGTCTTATGCCCCATTAAAGCCTTATGCCCTATTAAAAGTCTTATGCCATAATATTCTAATGCTCAACTCAAGAAATGTGTTGAATCTGAAGGTCTATATTCATTCTCTCCTTACCAAATCTTTTTTAATGTGACTGAAAAAACATGCATGTTCTATCCTCATTATCAAGCTCAAACCAATTTTCTTGTACCTCATAAAAATATCACGCACCAAAATGCTTACTATAGACATTGAAAAAGCATCTAGTTTCAGGTCTTTCCAAATTTCCATCGAATTGTTGAAAAATATTTAGATTATGATAATATTTCAACAGATCAAAGAGTTTGTGTTGATCACATAATTTTTTATTTATTTTTTATTTGGAAATTTGGAAATGCAATGAAAATAATAATGACAAAATAAACATTTCAAATTCATGAAAAATAACAGTAAATGTGTTATGTGGTATAGTATATAAAAGTAGTACCTGTAGTGATGTAGGAATATGTTCCCACGGCTCTTTTAGGTTTTGTTACTCTTGTGTAATACCATATTCATGACTTGACGGTATGACACAGTGAAATGGGTCAGTTATGTGATAAAAGATATTTTAAATCGCATCTATTTACCGTTTTCAGGTGACCAAGGAGAGAACAGCTCAGTGTTTCTTGCGAGTGGATGATGAGTCTATGTCTCGATTCCACAACCGGGTACGTCAGATTCTCATGGCATCTGGATCAACAACATTCACGAAGATTGTCAACAAGTGGAACACCGCTCTTATTGGCCTGATGACATATTTCCGTGAGGCCGTCGTCAATACACAGGAACTATTGGACCTACTCGTTAAGTGTGAAAACAAAATCCAGACACGTATCAAGATTGGTCTCAATTCTAAGATGCCCAGTCGTTTCCCACCGGTTGTGTTTTACACTCCTAAGGAGTTGGGTGGACTCGGAATGCTGTCCATGGGTCACGTTCTTATCCCACAATCAGATCTGCGGTGGTCAAAGCAGACTGATGTTGGTATCACTCATTTCCGTTCCGGTATGAGCCACGATGAGGATCAGCTCATTCCAAATTTATACAGGTAATAGAAAAAATTATTACGAAGCGGTATCTGTTGGGTAAAAAATCTATATATTTTCATGTTTTTAAGTTTTGGTTCCAAGCATGCTGTTAAATTGATATTATATACACTGAACCCAGTTTTACAAAAGTCAGTTCCAATATGCTTATATTGGGGCCAACAAGAGTGATTAATATGTAAGTTGTAAAAACTTGTTTCATAATTGTTGTAAAATGAATAAAGTTTATATTAAATATTTATGCTGGATGAAATTTATTGTCAATATGTAGAATCTATGGGTGCTTTGTTTACATGTCTCTGAGTAAATACTGAAGTTACGTGACATCTCATGATAAACCGAGAATGTTAAAATACTAGATGTGATACAATCAACTGAAGCTGTTCTGAGTTTAGAGTGTTTTACCGTTACAGATATGTGATGCCATGGGAAAGTGAGTTCATTGACTCGCAGCGAGTGTGGGCCGAGTACACCCTGAAACGACAGGAAGCCAATGCTCAGAACAGGTGAGTATTTAAATGTCTCCTATCAAAACTGATTCAATAGAAGTGCTGATGTTTCAAATTCATTAGATACAGGTTTTTTTACCCAATGAAAGAACTGCAGCGCTGTCCAAATTGAAGCAAAGTCATTATCACTAGTTTGATTTCATAGGCACAAATAATTTCTGAGTGTAGTAAATATTGTTTTGTTAATTACCTGAGATGGGTATGCGACTTGCTATAAATCTACTGTACCAGTGTTTGTGCTGTGTGTGTGGGTGGGGGGTTAGACAGACCTGACTGTATGAATTTTTAGAGACCAACATGACGTCTATTTGGCTGTAGATCCACTGTGCTTCTGTGTGTAGTTCAGTTTTACAATCAGCCAGACAGTAACACCAGTGTATTTGACTGTGCAGCATTTCATTGTCTGTATGGCCTCAATATGTTGGTAACACAGATTTTGTAGAATGAGACTTTACTTGTCGTCCTTGTCCTAAAATTATATCTCTTGATTTGTTCACAATATTTTCTGATATTTGTGTCATTGTAACTTCTGGGAAATGATAGTGTTGTGGGATATTTTAATGGGTAATCAGTTATAGTCATAATCAATAATTGGTTTGTAATGGCAAGTAGTAAACTGATTGATGATCAATTGCATAATCAGTTCATAATTCCATTGGACTGAATTCTTAAACAATGTGAGATTACTATTTTTACATCAAGACAAAGTTATTAACTATGCATTGGATTTCATTCTTTATAATGGATGAATTATAATTACAGTTTTGATTTTTTTCCTATTTTACCATCAATCATATTATTATCAAAATCACAAAAAGACATTTCTTTCAATGCATACTTTACATTGCTCATTCACATTTGACATCTGAGTTCAGTAATGAACCACTTCGATTATGGAATTTGTAATAGATTAACGGAATGGGACAGGGCAAACCTACTATCAGCCCATTACTATTGTATCGTTCCGTTCAAGTCTCAAGTGTCTAATCCTCTGTTGTGTTCTGTAATGAAACTCTTGATGATTCGGTAAATACCTTTGATCACAGCAGAATATCCTGACAAAGCTAAACAGATACTTTTATCATTGATACGATAAATCCTGAACATCATCATTTTAGATAAATTGTTATCACATAAACTGACTTTTAAATCTGTGTCCTGTAGGCGTTTGACCCTGGAGGACTTAGAAGACAGCTGGGACCGTGGAATCCCAAGGATCAATACTTTGTTCCAGAAGGACCGACACACACTCGCCTACGACAAGGGATGGCGGGTCCGAACCGAGTTCAAAGCCTTCCAGGTACTGCACAGATAAGATTTTTTGTAAAATTATGGCTGTAAATGAAATTCAGAAATAATTTAACTCTGACCTTTTCCCTTTCAAACCGACATAAAGAAGTATGGTCCATACATTAAATTGCATTATGCACAATAATACAAAACTTCTACATTTTGCCACCAGTTCAGAAAAATGTTGGCAGCGTAAAGGGGTTTGACAATACAATGTGATGGAATTGTTCAGAAAAAGGGAAGGGGGACATTAAAAGATGTTGAATGAAATGAGAGGAATTACATTTTGGTTTTATTGTGCTTTTGATAAATTTGTTATTAAGAAGTATTTACTGCAGCATAATGTAGAACATAGCAGGGTTGTGTATTGATGAAAAAGATTCAAATCAAAGAACATGTAATGACAGATAATTGAGTACATTACGATGATCTACTAGCCCCAATGCTAGAAATGTAGGGTGAATAATTATGCTATGCTAGACAATTTTGGTCACGCATGATTAGCTACTCTTGATACACCTTTGTTCATACATGGTTGTTTCCTCCTGACAGGTACTGAAGCAGAATCCATTCTGGTGGACGCATCAGCGACACGACGGGAAGTTGTGGAACCTGAACAATTACCGCACAGACATGATCCAGGCTCTAGGGGGCGTGGAGGGAATTCTGGAACACACACTCTTCAAGGGGACATACTTTCCAACCTGGGAAGGTCTCTTCTGGTAAGCTGAAGGAAAGGGTGGATTGAAATCTTTAACTAAAAATTATTTTTATGTTTAAAAATAATTTGCCAAACGAAGTTTAAATAAAAAATCAGATTCCAAGAAAATGCAGTGTGGAAATTTAATCCGGCAGTGATTTTCACTGAAAGAAAGAAGAAATTTTGATTTTGAAATAAGTCTTCTATACTAAGAATTTAACAACCAGCAAATATGTAGTGTCACTTAGATAGGAATTTAGGCAGTCATCAAATAACATCTTTCAGTTTAAGGGGCCATTATGTATCAAGTTTATCTCAGACAACCCAACAAACCTGATTGTGAAATCATTTTATACTGTAATTGTGCACCCCACAGGGAGAAGGCCAGTGGATTTGAAGAGTCGATGAAGTATAAGAAACTTACGAATGCCCAGAGGTCTGGTCTCAACCAGATCCCCAACCGTCGCTTCACACTGTGGTGGTCCCCAACCATCAACAGGGCCAATGTATGTATATATATAACTGACTTTGTTGCTGTTATAAGATCATGATACTTGATATTCCTTTGAATATGTGGTAATTACCTTACTTGTTTCTCCACATGCTGTAGCTGTGGCAATCCCCAGTAATAAACAGGACCAAAGTTTTTCGCACCTCAGAGATATCCCACGTCATACCCCATGCCAGATTTGTTTCTTTCTTGTCCGATCTATCTGGTACATTTACGTGACATTTAGTGGAAATTTTAAACAGTGACGTATTCATCCGTGCTTAAACTGCTCCAAAATGACCAGCTGCATTATACATATTCTGTTTTGTCGTTATATGTATTGTTTTGATGTAAATTATGTAGTTAGATTTCTGATGTTTTAGATAAAATATAATCTACACTGTCAAATACGTTGTCTTCTTTGTAAAGACGGACTACATTTTTATACGGTTTATCTCAGTCTCGGGCTAAGATTCTGTAACATCCTAGTCTAGGCTTACGCCTCGGTTGGGACTATGTTACAGAATCTTAGCCCTGGACTGAGATAACCCGATCTCGGTAAGTTACAGGTAATAGATTTTATTAATGTATCTAACACCCCTACTCCCTCGATATTAATAAAACCTGCTGAAACCTTCCTTGAAATGAATTGTTAGTTTTAATCGTTGTCATGCTCTGCTACTTCTTTCCCTTCCACAGGTATATGTAGGCTTCCAGGTACAGCTCGACTTGACAGGTATCTTCATGCACGGCAAGATTCCAACCCTGAAGATCTCACTCATCCAGATCTTCCGTGCTCATTTGTGGCAGAAGATCCACGAGAGCGTAGTTATGGATCTTTGTCAGGTACGTTTCCCATGTTATCATTGCTCTTTCGATGCAAATTTTTGAAATATTGAAGCATCTTACTGCGGTTGTTATCTTTTACAATGTTTGTCAATTTTTATCAATTTCAAATTTTTTCTATAATAGTATATGATAATTTTTGTATGTGTACAGTTTTTAACCTTTGACTATTCAGTTTCCTTTTGGTGTTGTTAAGTTTCGCGTTTGTCCCTTGTTATTGTTGTCGGGGCCCGATATGACAGTCACTTTTCTGTATGTGGTCTACTCTTGTCCCTGTATGCCTGTCCCCCCATAAGCAAACATTCCGAAAAATTATTTGCTACACCACTGGTTACAGCTGCCTTTATGTAAATATCTGTCTATGCCCCAGTGAACCACTTTGTCAATGAGTGATCATTTCTGGTATGAGTTGAAAAGTATAATTTTCAGATCATTGTTGTCTCTCAGCTAGCTGGACTTGAATACAAATGATCAACCTAAATTTCTGTTTGCAGGTGTTTGACCAGGAACTAGATGCCCTGGAGATTGAGACAGTCCAGAAGGAGACCATACATCCACGGAAGTCGTACAAGATGAACAGCTCGTGTGCCGACATCCTCCTGTTTGCTGCTTACAAGTGGAATATGTCCAAACCCTCGCTCCTGGCCGACTCCAAGTATGTAAAACGCACCACTGTGTTTAGAAACATTACTGATCAGCATATAGCTTAATGTGAAGAAGACAGTTGGTTTAAGACGAGGAAATAATATAGGAAATAATATGGTATTTAATGGGCTTAAACTGCTATTTTTCATCAATTATTTTGCATTGAGATATAAAAAGTGATCTTGAATTAAGTTTTTAAAAATATGATATGTTGATTAATAGGCTAAAACCATTATTATATTAGCTGTTTTGCTTTCAATTTGCTTTACTTTACAACGCATTTTTTTAACTAGAACAGATATAAGCATGCAGGGATATGAATGTTTGAGGAAATAGGGTTACCCAGTGAAAACTTTCCCCATATTGGGGAAAGGTGAAAGGCTAACCACTGTGCCTTCCCACTTCTACATTGAGATGTACAATGACACATGAAGTTTTCCTGTAGAAACGTAAAGTTTGACCGATGTTTTGTGATCCTGATGCTATTAAGATGTATGTATGATGATGTTGTGCTGTGATTGTAGAGATGTGATGGACAACACCACAACCCAGAAGTACTGGCTGGACATACAGCTGCGTTGGGGCGACTATGACTCGCACGACATTGAGCGCTACGCCCGAGCCAAGTTCCTCGACTACACGACAGACAACATGAGTATCTACCCGTCTCCGACAGGTCTGCTGATCGGCATCGACCTGGCCTACAACCTGCACAGGTAATCATACTTTAGAAATACAAACAGACTTGACATAAGATCTAAAATGTGAACTGCATTGATGTCTGCTTTGATGTGTTTAACTCTATGCTATGGGGCAACCAGTGTCAGATTGGATCTTACAAAGGAATTATTTTGATATTGTTAATCTTTCAGCGGCCTGAAGTGAAAATAGTGTTGTTTTATTGAGGCAAATCTGTCTGTCTGCCTGTAAGTCGATTCACACCTAGCTTTGTCTCTGTACATAAGTTCAAAATAGATATCAGTTTCCATTGTTGTTTTTGGCAACACATATAGGTTTGCAAATCATTATTGAACTTATTTTTAATCTAAATCTTTCAAGAAGTATGAAACTTAATTACTTTAATTGCCTTTACTTTCTTTAATAGTTTCTCTTTTTCCAGGGCTTAAGAACGATGACAAGATAGGAATTGTTTTAAACATGCGTTTACCATCTCTTACAGTGCTTATGGTAACTGGTTCCCTGGCTGTAAGCCCCTGATCCAATCAGCCATGGCCAAAATCATGAAGGCCAACCCTGCGCTGTATGTGCTTCGGGAGCGCATCAGAAAGGGCCTGCAGCTCTACTCGTCTGAGCCCACCGAGCCCTACCTGTCCTCACAGAACTACGGCGAGCTCTTCTCCAATCAGATCATCTGGTTTGTGGATGACACCAATGTCTACCGAGTCACCATCCACAAGGTAGGTCAGAGGTCACCATGTAAGGAGTAGGTCAGAGGTCACCATGTAAGGAGTAGGTCAGAGGTCACCATCCACATTGTATGCTATAACGCTTTAATTTATTGGCTAAAACACAAGGTTTGTTACTTAAAATATTCAAAGGGTTTTAATTTTCAATCAAGACCATAAATAGCCCTCAATAACTCTTTCAGGAGGATGACTAATTTGCAGTGTTTATAGCAAAAATACTGATGTTCCTTCGTATTGATTTGATGAGTTTAAGACATCAACATATATCATTTCAGATAATAAAGACAAATCATGAACTAACCCTGCTTTCATAACTACAAAACACTGATTTACAGATTTCACATACTAATGATAATGAAGTAATGAAAACCGTTACATGACTAAATGTTCTTCCAATTTCACAGACATTTGAGGGAAACCTTACAACCAAGCCTATCAATGGTGCCATCTTCATCTTTAATCCCCGAACTGGTCAACTTTTCCTCAAGATCATTCACACGTCGGTCTGGGCTGGACAGAAACGTCTCGGACAGGTAGGGCACAAGCGGTCAATTAAATATCGTCAAACAGAAGAAAAGATCTGTTTCTGGTCAGGTTTCCTTGTTTTTTATCCTGATATAGGAAAGGGTAACAAAATGATGGCCGTCCCACTTTATTTGGCGTCGTCCCATAATATAACAGATGTAGTATTTTAGTTTGTGGTCTGTGTGATCTATTGAATGTGACAAGAAAAACAATTCACTGCATTCTCATTTTCAAGGTTTTATACTGCCAAGAACATCAGAAAAGTAAACTGTCCAAAACTGAGCATGTTAACCAGAAATGTTTCATGTCTATACATTTGGGGTCTAATTAAACCTTTTCCAAATACCTAAAAATAAATTCAATTTTATGTCTCAATATTCCTTATGTGTATCTTATTACAAGGACTGCAGAAAATCCCACAATCTACAAAAAATAAAGAAAAAATCCCTGTGTGCACAATAATGCAAATATTATTTGGTTTGACAGTTGGCCAAATGGAAGACCGCAGAGGAAGTAGCTGCCCTGATTCGTTCGCTCCCAGTGGAGGAGCAGCCCAAACAGATTATTGTCACAAGGAAGGGTATGCTGGACCCCCTCGAGGTTCATCTCCTCGACTTCCCCAACATTGTCATCAAGGGCAGTGAACTCCAGCTCCCCTTCCAGGCCTGTCTCAAGGTATGTGGTCAATTTAAAGTTGATTTAGTGTGATGGAGATGTCGGTAGTCATGTCCTCATTGTCTGTATACAAGTTTACAAGTGATGGTACCATCAGTTTAAAATGTATTGTCACTATCATGAATATTTTGTCATTCTGAATTATTCTATACAATGACATTGTGCAGCAGTGCATTTCAAAGTTCCAAGTTTGAGTGTTTGATGAGAGAAACAAAATAACCTGCTCAAATCACGTGGCAATCAGCAACCATTTTGGACGTTTGGAATATTTTGATTTTGATGAAAAGTCTTGCACATGCATATGATATATTTCTGCTTGCGTTGGATTTTGAATCAGATTTGAATATCAACATGGCTTCCAAAAGGTGCAAGCAACACATGTACCTCTGTGAAATTGTTGTCTTGATAAATAAAGAAACATTGTCATTTCAAAATATTTGAGTCAATGTCAAGTTTTACAGATTATAAGTATAAAGAAACTAATGAAATTTCACCTTTTCCATTTTCAAGATTTTATTTTATTTACAAACTATTCTATTGCACTGAAATAAGTTGTCAGGTATTTGTCAAATTTACTGGCATTGAATTTGAATTGTTATTTACAGTGCTTAACACTATGCATGAAATAATAATAATGATAATAATTTGAGGTTCTTATATACCGCTTTATCACAACCTAGTTCGTAGGTCGTCCCAAAGCGGTTCACAAATTATTAATCATGGTTATAGTGCCTTTGCAACCAGCCAATATCGTTCTCAACTCCCTGTGGAGCATACAGCCGGTGCTGCCATATCGGCGCTCACAGCTAGCATTCAAAAATTCGAGCACTGCCCAACCACACACTCATTTACAGCTGAGTAGACTGGAACAAGCGTGGGTAAAGTATCTTGCTCAAAGATACAACACAGTGCCGTGCTGTGATTCGAACTCACAACCCTTCGGTCACAAGCCCGGCATCCTACCACTAGACTACCGCACCTCCAAATAATACGTTTCATTAGTGCTTATGATAACTTGTCACCGTATCAAACTAAAATTACACATGGATTCAGATAACACAAGGGGAAATGTGTGTTGTAGGTGGAGAAGTTTGGAGACCTGATCCTGAAGGCTACAGAGCCACAGATGGTGTTGTTTAACCTGTACGACGACTGGCTCAAGACCATATCGTCTTACACAGTACGTAAACATATGTTGAAAAACTACAGTTAAAGAGTGGAATCTGAAACTTTAAATTCTGTATCAAAATTAAGATCTTTGATTAAAAATTATCATCATTTGATAGAAAATGCAACAAAAGAAGAAATAGTCGCTTTATTGGATAAAGTTTAAATTACAACAAATGGTTAATGATTAGTAGTTCCTTCAATATTATAAGAAATACAGAAATATCAAAGTACAAGTACCATTGTTTGTGTTGAGATGTTAAACCTTCCAACTAGAGTTTTCTCATTTAGTGAAGAAATTATGTCTTTAGAATATCTGATGAATTATGGTCCTTTTTTATGAAAAAAAAATCAACTCTTTTCACGATTTCAGGCATTCTCTCGTCTGATCCTGATCCTGCGAGCATTGCACGTCAACAATGACCGGACTAAAATAGTGCTGAAGCCAGACAAGACCACGATCACCGAGCAGCACCACATCTGGCCCACCCTGTCGGACGAGGAGTGGATGAAGATTGAAATGCAGCTTAAGGACCTCATCCTTGCCGACTACGGCAAGAAAAACAAGTAGGTTTCCCTTCGTTTCTTATAGACATCTTCAAACAGACAAAAGAAAAGTTTAGATTAAATTCCAGAGCAGGAAGAAGTGAATAACTTAATGTTTTTGGTCCATTTATTAGAACTTCAAAGCATAGAAAAGTTTCCAGTTTGAGTTTTATCAAGAAATACGTATTCAGTTTTTATTAGCTCACCTGGCCCAAAGGGCCAAGTGAGCTTATGCTGTGGTGCGACGTCCGGCATCAATATTTAACTTTAAACAACCTCTTCTTCATAACCAAAAGGCCTAGGGTGATAATATTTGGTCAGTAGCATGGTGGGTTGAAGGGCTTCCAAGTTTGTTCAAATAAATGACCTTCACCCATATTCAAGGTTACAGGGGTCAAATATGGTAAAAGCTATAAACATCTTCTTCTGAATAATCTGTACTAGGTAGATTTTATGTTTGTACCTATAGACCGAACGGTGATATCAATGACCTCTAAATTTCAGCGTCAACGTAGCGTCACTTACGCAATCAGAAATCCGTGACATCATCCTGGGTATGGAGATCTCTGCCCCTTCAGCACAGCGTCAACAAATCGCAGAGATTGAGAAACAGACCAAGGAGCAATCGCAGCTTACAGCAACCACTACACGAACTGTCAACAAGCATGGAGATGAAATCATCACCTCAACAACCAGTAACTACGAGACATCTACTTTTGCATCCAAGACAGAGTGGCGAGTTCGTGCCATCTCTGCGACAAACTTGCATCTGCGTACAAACCACATCTATGTGTCGTCAGATGACATCAAGGAGACCGGTAACACATACATCTTACCAAAGAATGTGCTGAAAAAGTTCATCATTATCTCCGATCTCAGAGCTCAGGTATGAAAATTACAAAAAAAAAAGGGTTTCTATTTCATCCTGTAGGACAAACACATACATTTTCTAAATTGTTCTTCGGAGAGAATACAAAGTGACATCTAATGGTACATCATTATCTCCGATCTCGGAGCTCGGGTTTAAAAATAAAAACCAAAAGTTTCCTATTTCAACCTGTAGGACAAACACATACATTTTCTAAATTGTTCTTCGGAGAGAATACAAAGTGACATCTAATGGTACATCATTATCTCCGATCTCAGATCTCGGGTTTAAAAATAAAAAAAAGTTTTCTATTTCATCCTGTAGGACAAACACATACATTTTCTGAATTGCTCTTCGGAGAGAATACAAAGTGACATCTAATGGTACATCATTATCTCCGATCTCGGAGCTTGGGTTTAAAAATAAAAACAAAAAGTTTTCTGTTTCATCCTGTAGGACAAACACATACATTTTCTGAATTGTTCTTTGGAGAGAATACATAGTGACAACTAATGGTACCTCATTATCTCCGATCTCGGAGCTCGAGGATGAAAATTTAAAAAAAAGTTTTCTATTTTACCGTATAGGACAAACTTGTACATTTTCTAAAAAAAAAAAAACAGAGAGAATACACAATGACAACTGTTTTTTCTAGCATGACTGTCTTTGATAAATCATTTTTAAAAAGAAAGTTATAGCTTGTGGGACTTTCATATTAAAAATAATGAATGTGAAATAAACAAAATATCATCAACAGTAGTGTTCCTAGTGTAAAACGTTTTGACGGATATAGACCGGGATTTGAACCCAGAACTTCAGGTTGTTATAGTATCGCTCTAACCGACTAAACTAACCGGTCAACCGAAGCGTCTTGACCCGACGGTGCTACAGTATTGTAAACAAAAAATAAGGGGAGATTACTGTATTTACGAAAAACCACAGTGCAAAACAAAACCACAATTTATATGTATGTCGGAATGTATTTCTTATGATGACTTTGTTTACAACATAACAGATTGCTGGCTACCTGTATGGGGTAAGCCCCCCAGACAACCCTCAGGTGAAGGAGATACGATGTATTGTCCTGCCGCCACAGTGGGGAACGCACCAGACCGTCCATCTCCCTAACATCCTCCCAGAGTCCGAGTACCTCAAGGTAGGTTTATATTTTGGATACCATGGCTTTTTTTGGCCCTAAAACGTTACACATTGCCAAACATTAGTAAACGTTGCAAGATTTCCATCCTTGATGTCCAGCTGATAACATTTACTAAAACAGAAACAAGCCAGTGGCTGTGATGTAATGCACTTTATTTAGACAGCTGATTTCTCAACGAGGTGGAATCTGCCAAAGCTATGAGAGGTTGTAAGATCATAAGGGGCAAGATTTACTGTCCATATGGACCATAGTCTGCATGCAATGAGTTAGATAATCATTTAGTTTTCGTTGAAAAGTTGGAAAGGAAAAGATAAGAATCCCAAGTGTAGCCACCTTTTAGAATCTAGTTTACTGCAGAAAACCTGTTCTATATTACAAATTGTAAACCGTATAATGCTTTGCCTTACTGAATTTTTGCGCTTTCATGCAAAAGGACAGTTCCATATGAAGTGTTGGTTTTGTCCTATGATTGGAAACCATACGTTTTGTGTCTTGCAGGTAACAAAAGATTGATCCCCACATTGAATTTATCTTCTTTTTCAATGGGTAGAGCTAAAAAAAAGATATGGTAAACATTTGTCATTTTATATTAATCCTGAACATGCTGGAATTTTGAATTAAAGAACAAGCCTTACAGCTAAGGTGGAAGATTTTCTTTTTCATGTCTGTACTGTATTTATGATGATGTTGAAATCATACAGTAAATAGAAAGCAGCTATGGAGACAGTTTTAAACAATGAAAAAAAATATATTGATATGTTACAGGAAATGGAACCCCTAGGTTGGATACACACTCAGCCCAATGAACTGCCCCAGCTGTCCCCCCAGGACATCACTACACACGCCAAGGTCATGGGAGATAACCCCGCCTGGGACGGAGAGAAGACGGTCATCATCACATGTAGCTTCACGCCTGGCTCCTGCTCACTGACCGCTTACAAACTGACCCCCACTGGGTGTGAGTGGGGCCGTCAAAACACAGACACTGGAAATAACCCCAAGGGTTACCTCCCCTCGCATTACGAGCGTGTACAGATGTTGTTGTCAGATAGGTTCCTGGGATTCTTCATGACGCCATCACAAAGCTCCTGGAATTACAACTTCATGGGTAAGAAATATTCCGTAGTGTTAGAAGGAGAGCCATATTAAACCTGTATGCTACAAAGTCTTCCTTATAACACAAGGAATAGAAAAGACGGAACAACAACATCTTAACCCTTTCACCACTGTATACCATAATGGACTCATCCATACAATGCATGGAAGAGTCTACTAAAGTTACATAGGGGTGAAAGGGTTAAAGTAGTCAAAACATGTAAACTATAAATGAGGTTCTGCAGAATCTAGATGCTGTTATTCCATCTTTTCTGTTTTTGGCTTGGCAGCCCATTGGGCCTCTTTTGACAGAGCACCAGTGAATACTTTTGGGTATCCATCTTGGATTCCAACTACAATCCACTCACCGTCCATGACAACCAGGATGCTTTGTTTGGGGACCTATTTCACTTCCTTATAACAGTCTTATGTTTTCCTTGCAATTGTCTCATAAATAACATCATGCTAACAAATTTTGGAAACCAATTTACTCGGTCCTGTAACTTTCATTAATAGGTGTTCGGCTGTAATGAGAATTACTTTACAACATGTTAATAGGGATATTAGAAAAGTCACAGAATTTTCCAGGAGCCTGCAGGGTTTATTACCAGGACCATGTTTAGCTTGACTATTCTATGTATAGGGGTGCCTACCTAGTCTGACTGGCTGCTCTACAGCAGTTGTATGTTCAAGTTGAGCAACAGTCAGGATTCGCTTTATTGAATATGTTCCTGTCGTGTTCCAGGTTGATTTCAAGTTTTCCTAAAAACAAATCTCTCTGCAAGATGTATATATTTTATATGTGATGTTTTTATGAGATTTATGTAACAGTTGTAATTTAATTATGCAGGTGTACGTCACGACCCCAACATGAAATACGAACTACAGCTGTCAAACCCAAAGGAGTTCTACCACGAAGTTCATCGACCCTCACACTTCCTTAACTTCTCCTCTATGGAGGAGGGAGAACTTGGCAGTTCAGACAGAGAAGATCTCTTCATGTGAGGCTCCCCAAGGGGGCTGCGAAACTTTAACCTCACTTGTGAGACTTGCCAGGGGACAAATTTGCTTGATTCAGATTTTGCAATCTAGCATGGAAATGGAAAGTTATGGTGCAATTCTGTGAACAAAAGAAATTTTCCAAAATAAACATTCTGATTAGCATTGTTTACTAAAGCAGAGGGTTTTTCACAACACGAGTTCATGATATATACATATGTGTATGTATATAAGTGTATGTAAATATTTCATCGAAAGGATTGAAATTCTCACGATCTGAATCATAATTCATGTATGTAAATATTTCCTTGAGAAACTGGTTTATGTAGACACTGCGTGAAATATTTTCAATCCTCATTGACGTTTTTATAGATGTGTCAGACTGTGTGTGTGTAATTTCCTTTGGTGAAAGAGTTAACGTATGTGTGGAAGAGAAATATGTCGTTGTGTAAATGAAATATTTTACGGATAAAAAGTTGGGAGTGAAGTCGGTGCTGGAAGTCTTTGTCTCGTTGCTGTAAGTACTTACATGTAAAATTGTAAATATTTCATTGAAGATATCATCTTTGATATGGTCATTGAAGCTGAAGTTTCCATGAAAACTTCCATTATTTTCATAGAGTGATTCATATTTGGATGCTGCGCACCATTCACAGGGCTTCATTGCGTAATGTTCTTTAGAACCTTCCCATTTAGACCTGGATGATTTAGTTCATTGAATAGAGTCGGTGGTTTAGGAGCTGAACCACATTCGTTGGCTTCTGATGTTATAAACACTGGTTCAGGCACATCAAACGACATTACTTCTGACTTTCCAAAGTCCAGCACATATTTGTGATGATGCCATTCCAGAACTGTGTATCATATCTGTCATAACTTTCTGTGAGAACGCTTTTCAAAATCATTCAATGGCTTGTGTTGGTTGATAAGATCAATATGGTTTGAAATCTCACAAATTTGTTATTAATCTGAAAAATATCTGTTGCAAGACGTGTGCATACATCAAGATCATGTGTATTTAAATTTCATTTCAATCACTTAACATGTTTTGTACATCAAGTTGTAGATATAATGTATGTCACTCAATCTGGTTCAATAAAAGTGAATCACATCTTTATGCCAGTGATGTGTTTTAATTTTTGAAACTTTGCTTTTATGTCATCAGGACCGGGCTTTGCAAATTACATACAAAAGTCGAACATCACGATTGAATTGGATAAATTCCTTAGTTCCAAAGTTTCCTTACCACAGTGAAAATACTTTGAACAGGACTTAACCTGTCAAAGATATTACACAAGTCCACATTGAAAGCAGTCCAGTAGGGTGGTTGGATGGTGCAACAGTTAGCACATTACCTTTCACCAAGACCGTTGGGTTTGGACACGCTAACTGGATGTTGGCACAGTAGTTAGCACATTGCCTTTCAAACGCTAACTGGATGGTGGCGCAGTAGTTAGCACATTACCTTTCATCAAGACCGTTGGGGTTGGCACGCTAACTGGATGTTGGTGCAGTAGTTAGCACATTGCCTTTCAAACTCTAACTGGATGTTGGCGCAGTAGTTAGCACACTGCCTTTCAAACGCTAACTGGATGATGGGGCAGTAGTTAGCACATTGCCTTTCAAATGCTAACTGGATGATGGTGCAGTAGTTAGCACATTACCTTTCAAATACTAACTGGATGATGGAGCAGTAGTTAGCCCATTGCCTTTCAAACGCTAACTGGATGGTGGCGCAGTAGTTAGCACATTACCTTTCATCAAGACCGTTGGGGTTGGCACGCTAACTGGATGTTGGCACAGTAGTTAGCACATTGCCTTTCAAACGCTACCTGGATGTTGGCGCAGTAGTTAGCACACTGCCTTTCAAACGCTAACTGGATGATGGGGCAGTAGTTAGCACATTGCCTTTCAAAGGCTAACTGGATGATGGCGCAGTAGTTAGCACATTACCTTTCATCAAGACCGTTGGGGTTGGCACGCTAACTGGATGTTGGTGCAGTAGTTAGCACATTGCCTTTCAAAGGCTAACTGGATGATGGCGCAGTAGTTAGCACATTACCTTTCAAATACTAACTGGATGATGGAGCAGTAGTTAGCCCATTGCCTTTCAAACGCTAACTGGATGGTGGCGCAGTAGTTAGCACATTACCTTTCAAATGCTAACTGGATGATGGCGCAGTAGTTAGCACATTGCTTTTCAAACGCTAACTGGATGTTGGCGCAGTAGTTAGCACATTGCCTTTCAAATGCTAACTGGATGATGGTGCAGTAGTTAGCACATTACCTTTCAAATGCTAACTGGATGATGGCGCAGTAGTTAGCACATTGCCTTTCAAACGCTAACTGGATGTTGGCGCAGTAGTTAGCACATTACCTTTAATGGGTTTGATACCCTAAGTGGATTTTGAAATACACAGGGTTTACTGCCCTGCCAATTTGTATATGTTGGTACTCCAATTTCCTCCCATATCAAGACCCACTGCATGCTTTCTAGTACTCTAAAACTGACCATAAACACAGGCTCCAGAATTCTGACCGGTCCATAAACTGGCGACAGGTCAGAATTTGGGAGCCCGTGATTATGGTCAGTTTTAGCAGATTACATGCTTGGTTCTTTGTAAACAAGAATGAATAATTTAAGTTTACAAATTGTTTCACAAATATAGCAAGAAAGTTGCAGGCATAAAGTGTGGGAGGAAACGCCAACAAAACTGATGTCCGTCGGTCCTCCCGTTCACACTTTCTTTTTATCAAGATAACTTACTTAAATATCATTCACTTGTGATTAAATTTGGTATCTATGTACATAATATAATACAAAGACTGAGGCTAAGTTTGAAGTTGAGCAAAAATCCGCACACAATTAATTACCATACTGCTATCTGATTGGTCGAAGGTTTCCGCACAATATAACAGTCAAATATGGCCTGTATTCTGATGAGACTTTATCAATGTTTACACTTTGTCTAATAGGGAAATCTGTCAGTAATTGATGGACAATAGAAATACCTTTGGTTTCATTAATATCAATAGTGTAGGATGAATTGATTATTGTCAATTTCAATTATATTTCCATGGTTTATAATATATATACGAAGGGAGACATTTTCTATGAATATTGTTTAATGTTATAAAGATATATATATATCAAATATATGTATTCCCTTCAGCTTGAAGTCATCCTCGATATCCAGGGGTTACTTTTAACACTCACTTTCGCTCTCTGCACCCCTGGAATATGTCATGGCAAAATTGAAGGCACAAATATATCTGTTTGATTGATCTCAGGTAAAATAAACTGACCAATCGCTACGCTGATACCTGTCCTTTGAAGATTACAAAGGAGAGACGCCCAACTTCAAAGCCTGTCAATTTTTACCGTTACATGACCGCGAGATTCTTTTGATGTACATCAAAGGATCGAACTAGTAGTCTTGTCTCATTTTGCTATGACATATTCCAAAGAGCGAAAGTGAGCGTAACCCCTGGATATTGAGGATGGCTTGAAGTGTACGCTGAATGATTTGCTAAATTACGCTATGAAAATACTTTATATTATACAATAAAAGGCTACAGAAGTGCCAACGTCGTGATGGCCTCCATTTCCGGAGATATTGTGATTTATCTGAATAACACACATTTGCCTCAGCGCTTATCGCCTCTATACGGCTAGCCAATATACCGAATTTCGTGAAGTTCAACGCTGTCAAATTAGCCTTTTTGGAATTCGATAAGTTCTTTCGTCAATATATAAACAGAAGTATTTATCGTTACTACAGTACTGTAAAAGCATACCTTCTATTATTCATTATTGATCGCTTGAAAATGTGATGAACCTTTCATATAACACAAAGCATATTGATTAAAAACTGAGTCAAACGAAAGCACATCCCACTCCTTAAATGACCAAAAATGCATTTATACTCAAAAAGAACAGCGACCTTTGTATTTGTATCCACAGTAATAAAAACGTGTACCATTGTGAATAAGTATGTACTATTTGTGACGTAAGTTGTCTTGTCCCGGCGCATTAAAGTGTACCCTGGACGTTTTGCTATATCAAGCTATGAAAATACTTCATATAATACAATAAATGGCTACGAAAGTGCGAACGTCGTAGTTGACTCCGTTTCCGAGATATTGTGATTTATCTGAAAAACACACCTTTGGGTAGCCCACATCTGTGACGTCACAAGTTCAACGCTCCAGGAAGCTTCGATTGTGCGTTCGATATGCGAGTTTTTCAGCTACTTATATGATATATTCCGTCGTCACTTGTGTATGTAATACTTAAAGTGTTACATACATATAAATGACCTATTTTACAATTTTAATGATGAAATGAGTTCCTATTGAGGAGGAAAACGATGTGCTATATATGCGGGTGTCGGAACACACATGCGGATACATACTTAGTTAATCTAGTGACTGTAGATATCTTTTTATCATTCAATTGATCTCTAGAAAATATGATGAACCCCTACACAACACAAAGCAACTGATTAAAAAGTTATTCAAATTAACGTAAGCGCACCTCACCCCTAAAATTCTTTACAATATGGAGATAATTTACTCAAATTGACAAAAAAAATGCACCGTTACAATAATTTACACTCAAATTGAGCAGCAACCCGTGTATTTTTTTCCCCTCAGTTATAAAAACTTGAAACATTGTGAATAAGTACATGTATGTACTATTTGTGACATTAGTGGTCTTGTCTGGTTGCATTAAATATAGAGGTATTGGGAGGGGATCATTTCCTTATTTTTATTCTTTATGCAATCCAGAGAATTTAAGAAGTTTACACACAATAAATTAATTATACACACCAATTTTAATAATCTTGCAGAGGGAGTTAGAACCTGTCCGTTCAAGTCTCACAAAGATTAGTCATTTATCAATGAACCACCTGATCAGATATAATGGGTCCAGCATTATTTGCCTCGTTTCTGACTTTCATGATCTGTCGGTTAATGCAGTTGTACTGAGTACTATTTGCATATAATGTGAGTCTGTGACAGCACTTACGCATTTTATTTATGCACATTTTCCTTGAAATCGATCCTTATTCATTTCCCCGTAATCTACCTGAGTTGTTAAATGGAAAATTGAAAGACACATAATCTACTGTACACCAAACTACATGTACATACTAACTTCAGGTACCCCTCTTGACCACCTGCTGATATCTTTTTTCGAGATAAATATAATCACGTAATTAGATTATCTATCTAAGTCCGTGGTATTATTTAGCATCGCATACTTAAGTACTGTATTGTATAACAAATAAATGTGTAACTGTTGGTATTTTGCTGAATTGTCGACCTAACATAAGGAAGACACAGTGGAAAAAATGACGTCGCCGTTTGTAACGTCGCTTTTGATTGGCTGATACAGCAGCGCAATAAATTCTAAGAGAAAAGAGTCCATCAATAAAAGTGTATTTCCACAGGGATTGTGTATATAGTGGATTAAATTATAAGGATTAACTTGAATATATTTTTCATATTATGGAGCTTTCGCGGTTTATGATGAGAGTACACTCCGTTTTTTTGTGTTATATCTCCATAACATGAAAAATATATTCAAGTTAATCCTTAAGTATCTATAATATGCCATTCATACTATTGCCATCCAAAAACAGCAGACACCACCGTTGAAGTTATTTTGTAAACATTTTTCACCGATACATTTCCGTATTTTTGGACCGTAGCGGTACCAAAGTATATAACTTTATATTTACAATGTAAATAATCCAGCTCAGAAACTGGTCACGAAGTAGTGCTGTTCAACGACGACATGATGGAAAATGTTCTCACTGTAGAGTTAAGAAAATGATTGCAAACTGACTTTCCAGCTAAAATAAAGAAGAAACATTTTTGATCAACAACATTGTGAGTGTTTCTGTTTAATTTCCCTCAAACTCGTTTATTCGACAAATTTCTCATCAGTGCTAAGAAACGTGACATGCCTTGCTACCACTCTGTGTTACCCTATTCAGAGTCGTCAGCTTGGGATACGGAAAATTAGTAGGAAGGGGCGGGCCTCAGTAGGTAATTATAAGGGCGGGATCATTAGGTAAAGGCGTAGCCTAATACGGTATGGGCGCGGCCTCAGTAGGAAAGGGTGGATCTGATAAGGTAAGGGCGTGGCCTCAGAAGGTAAGGGCGAGGCCTCTGTAGACAGGGGCGGGTCTCAGTAGGTAAGCGAAGACATGTTGATTTGACATTCCGGGGTTCACATTCCAGTTTGGCCCGGTTGCATTTTTACTCTCAGGACACTTGTTGAGTTTTTGGTTTCATCTTTAATTTGTGAAAATGTGCTGAAAATTATGGGTTTTATTTTTTTAGAACTGATTTATTTAAGCTATTTTAAGCCAGTAAAAGAGGTTCAAATTCTTAATATCCCCTATATCGCATAATATCCTCAAAAGTAGTGTTTTCTGGGAATGTGCACATGATTGGGTGTTTTTTTGTCTATAACCATGTTGGTTTTTGTGTCTTGTTTCGATTGATTATTTCTAAAAAAAACGTGGCAAGCCTTGTGTAAAGCAACTTAATAATCGCTCTCCCCACCCCCCTCGGATTGAAAGTCCCCTATCTCACCTATGTCCCCCCGGATTTTTTTTTAGATCTAGAAGCTCTGTCGTGCCATCTGGTGGCTTTTCAGATACGTAGTAATGAACAGCTGTATTTATTCAGATTGTCTCACCACCGTGGAGGTGAACGATTCTATAAATACCACATGGGTGCACTCTGTAACTTGTACTATTATGACGTCACAATCAAATGATTTTTGTTATGAGGTCACACTTGAAAATGCATCAAACGTCGTTTGTTGCCGTCGGCGAGTAACGCCAAGTAAAGAACAAGATAATTATTGTGCAAGGTTGTCCGAATGGTCTTACATGGATCTTATTTTTTATGTATACCGCCGGACTTTTTTCTGCTCTTTCCAAATGGACTTTGTGTATACCTAAATTCTACACCCTCAGTTAGAATACCCATACCACTTACCTACACGTGATCGACTCTGTGCGTTCAATTCCTATAGTATGATCTGCCTGTGTTATAAAAAAAATATTTAAACATATTTTATTGCAAATAACAGATGTTGCAAACGAATCGGACACAAGTTTTGGCAACTTATTAAAGTCCTCTTCGACAAAAAAATAATTGATTACAATACATGTATATCACGCAATGTTAGAGCTACTTAGGTAATCATTTGACATGAAAGAATTGTAGGTAAGAGAGGGGACAAAGAAGAGATCGATATATTTTTCAATATATATATTTGACATTCATTATTCAATAATTCTTAGATTTATATCTCCGTTCAGTATAAGATCTGTCATCAATATTTACTTGACCTGGGTACCATGACATTGACCTAAAAAGTGAAAGACGGGATAGATTATATTTAGGACAGGTAAAAAAGAAATGGTTTGAATCCTCACAGAGATACCCACAACTACATGCAGGAGTATTAATTAGATTTGCTCTAAATAAATCATAGTTTAGAGAACTCGCGCGATTTCTTAAACGACAACGTAATATGTTAGATTTACGTGTTCCAAAAGTAAGGAAATGTTAAAGTTTATTTTCGTTTTTATTGAAACTTTTGTTTATTCTCGAGTTGAAAATGTTGAAGGTTTCGGATGATTTATTATTTTCATCAAGATCATTCCATGCTTTAATAGTTGATGAAAAAACGAGTTTTGCATAATTTGCAATCGATAGTTAGGCATTCTTATTTGATGCGCATTCCTTAAATCATATCTAGAAATATTTCCAATAATTGGTGGCATAAATTCGCGTAAGTATTCGGGGGCAATATCGTTTTTTATTGTATAAAACATTGACAATTCCTCTTATGCATAATGGTGGCCAGCCGTTTTCTTTCGGTGTATAGTAACTCCATTTTAGTATATATGGGCAACCCTGTGACAATCCAAGCAGCTTCTAATTGGATTCCCCACAATTGTCCCATACCTCACATACATATTCAGGAAATGGTCGGATACATGTCATATACATTTTGTCAAGATTATTTCTGCTCAATATAAAGTTGCAATATATTTGGAAGCTTTGCGAATAATATCATCTATATGTTCTGTGCATTTCCCATCACTTCTTAATATAACGCCAAGGTGTTTATGATTTTCAGTTATTTGAATATCAGTATTATTACAGAAGAATTGTGGTTGAAAGGATAGATTTGAAAGTGTCACTATCATGATTTCTGTTTTTGACGGATTAAAAGTCACAAGCCAGTCTTTCGACCATTTTTCTAATATCTTCAGGTCAGAGTTGATTTCAGATTCTATATTAACAAGATTAGGGGATAAATATGAGAGTGAAACGTCATCCGCAAATAAGCGTGAAAATGAAGTAAGTTCTTTTGAAATATCATTTATAAGTATTAGAAATAATAGTGGTCCTAGTACAGATCCTTGATGTAAGCCCGCAGTGGTGTTTATAACTGAAGATACTGATATACGTATATATGTGTTGCGTGATTGCAGAGGGCAACTTGTGATAACTTGTGCGCCATCTTGTTGGATTATTACTAGCACTAAGAAGACTTTAAATCAAACAATTTGCCATTATTTAAGAATTTCGCGTGGAAAAAGATACAGGCAAATTCGGTCGCATTGCTGTGAGTGCCTTACTTAGAGGACCGTCTCTTTATCTAACAAATGCTTGACACCGATTACGTGCGACAATAACAGGTCTTAGAAAGTAGTCAATCTCCAAAGACACCTGGGCGGAATAGCTCAGATCACAGGCCCCAGACACAATCGGAAACAGTCGGCACTTTCCGTAAACGAGAAAAAATACTCGTTTACGGAAATTGCCGACGGTTATCGATTGGCCCCAGACATACTGATATCCTTCGCGCGGTGTTGTCACTGCTTCTCTTAGATTACAATATTATTGTTGCCTGTCATTGTACTCATAAGTACCATGTAAATGGAGTTTGAGACGATAGTGAAGATAAAATAGCATTGCATTCGAATTATACCGATCTTTCTATAATAACAACTGCTTTGGAAGTTATCGTCATCTAAAAAAGATCGTCACCTTTTTTTATTGACAATGACATTATTAACATGACTGACATTTTCACAAATCAACAAACTACAAAAATGTTTTTAAAGAAAAAAGAATAAAAACTTGGGCAAATGAGTTTTTCCTGTCGGAAAATTTTCCTGCGATCATAATACACCGATCACAAAAAGGTGTCTGGCCCCTGTGGTTCACACACGAAGATAAGACCACACTTGAACTCATGAAACACAAGAGAGTGAATCTAGTATCTCAGTATCGTAAACAATATGTGTACTGGAAGGATTTTCTTTGGTCTCGCTCTTTTCATTTCTTCCCAATCGGAAGAGCTATTCGGGGCCCATTCCGATACTGCTGACATCATATCCGACCTTTCTCGGAGACTGGAAAACCTGGAATATCTACGGACAAAAGACACGCTGGAAGCCCAACGCCGAGAGGAAGAACTTCTGTCCCGTATCCAAGCAACCGAAGATAATGAACGACGAATTCGCGACCTGGAGCAGTTAACTTCCGGACAGTTTCACGAGATTGCGTCACTGAAGAACCATCTAGAACATCTATCCCGTGGGGATGTGGTGTCCGCAGAAAAGAATCCCGGAAATTCTAGTTATTCACAGTTGGACAGACTGTCAAGAGCAGGCGGTATGGTACATTTTAAATATATTATATGGTATTGCCGAAGTACTGATCACCCTCAGAGACTCCGCAAATTACTGTAAAAAATCATTTTTATCGGTGATATTATTTAAGCACTTTTCGGGCATGAAATATTGGGCTCAATTATGATTGTACTAATGGCAGTTTCTGTATATGATCTTCTACTATTTTATATACACCAAGTGCGCCAATTCATGAAACGCATCTAATTTAATTGTGTCGATTCTCGATAATGCGCGAAAATTGAGAACACTAAAATAAGTTAATTTTCAAAATGTTTCAATGGGTTAACGTCTTCGTAACTAAAGCCATACAAAGACAGGTTCCTATGGCGACGATACCGAAAAGAAATACTTGTTAAGTATGTAAAGAAAAGATAAAGATCCCAGAGTGTTGCGTTAGCGGCAGTAGATCTTTCTCTCTCTCTTCAATCTTCCATCTCTCTCTTCAATCTTCCACACACTGAAAACCTAAGAAAATCTGGCTACTGCTGTAGAGGTGTGTTTTTTAATGTATAATGCTTAGGTGGACATTAATTGAAGAAGAAGCAGTTTGTTACTTGGTGAAATGCAATAATTTTTTTCAGTACAATAATTTTCTAATTTATCAAGCATATCTTGGAGACCTTCGACAGTCTCGGAGAATAATACTAGAGATTAGACAGACCATATCTGTTATAAGTGATCCTTGCGTTGACCCGTCTTCTCTACAAAAATTCTGATTTGGATTTTTCATGTCGAATTCGTGTCGAGTTCTGCTCGATTCTTGTAGGTTTTCTCCGGGTACTCCAGTTTCCTTCCGTAAGTAGGATTTGATTTGAGAGGTAAACGAGAACTCTTACATTTACATTATTTTACACAACGAGGTGTTTGACTTCGCTGGTGGACTTTTAGTACCTGAGGAGGCTGTCCGTAACCTTCGAGGAATTTCTTCGGGAAAAGTTCACATATAGTACGATTTTATGGATACATTATCTTTTGAAGCCTAAAGTTATAAAGATTACATAAAGAAACTTGTAATGTTATAAAAGGTTTTATATCATATTTAATATTTAATGTTTTATAGTCACCGCCCCCCACGCACTCCCCCCAATATGTGTTTTATTATAACTTTTAATTTGGTCGTGTTCATTGCGGTAGATGTTTTCACTTCTTTAGGCATAATTAAGAACGGTGTCGATTTTTGTTGTGCGTGCATGTTAGGGTTAGATAATACTTGGTTGATCACGTATGACATTTTGCATAAGTGTTTATATTTTGACTATTCCAGTGCATTTCCCGCCTGTTGCGTTCTACGCCTACAGCTCTACCACTCTCCGTTACTTGACACGTAGAATGTTACCCTACGATACCGTCATCACCAACGTCGGGAACGGCTACAACAAATATACCGGGGCCTTCACGTGCTCTGTACCGGGCGTGTACTTCTTCACGTGGGATATTTACGTAGGGGGTGGCGTAGGGTATCACGTCGACACGGAGCTCCAACGAAACGGACAAGCAGTGGCTTTCGCGAAGGTGAGTTCAAGTTCAACAAGCTTAAATTGTATCGACGGTCGTTATATAAGTCCCTACAACGACCTCGCTGTTACAAATGAATGCCTACGAATATCACTTCGCTGTTCGTTTTGGCATAAAACACCTTTAATATCAAGTTTGATCGAAATCGGACAATATATAAATTTCGACCAATCATAGTATCACGGCGGCCATCTTGGATTGGCAGCTGGACAGTTTTGTTTGCACAACTATACATATCCACCAATACTTTAGCAAAGTTTTATTGAAAACGGCCTTGTCTATTCTTTTGGTGTTTTTTTCTCATTTCTTAATTGTTGATGTACCTTGCCACTAACGTTGCTTGCGGATTTTGTCCTTGTGTGTTGACGCTGTTGTTAATATCCCGTCAGCGTATATATTGCCCAGAGTGGCGTTATAAAGGGTTTAACGATAAATTGATCGAAAATTATAAAGGAATTCATAACAAAAAGAGAAAAATGGACGTTGAACATGCTGGTTGTAAACGAGGAGGCAAACGGAGCTAAGGGAGTACTAATGTACATGCATTTATGTGATATGTGAAATATATAGTTAGAGAAGTAACTCAGAAAGTTGCCACTGTAATTGACTAGTTCATTATAATAAACTAAACAAAACAAACAACAAACAGCACAATTAGCGTTCATCATTTCTATGTCCTATTTTCTATTTTTGTACTGAAGGCGGGGACCACAACCTACCTTGCAATGACTGGATCCAGTTCGGCCATATTACAGCTCGTGGCCGGAGACACGGTCTGGGTAAAAGTGTCCGAAGAGACAAACGACCAAACTGTATTGTATAACAACAAAACCAAATTCTCGGGGTTCTTAATTCAATAAAATAAGCCATATAAATATTCAATTTGTTGTACTTTTATTATTTTTTAGAAATAAAGCCGTCTTTACCTACCTACAAAACAGAGAATTGGAGAATGTTCAGAGAAGATGTGGCCCTGAGTTGGTACGTTCTTATTTCATGCTTGTATGAACGCAAATCGGTTGCATACATATTCCATTCATACCAGCATGAACATTGAAAAAATGCCGTCCAATGCTTATATTTACGTTCTAAATTTGTAGTTTTTATTGACCTAAATATAGATGTCTGTGTCGTCAGTTCAAATGAGGTTCTTTGAACAGCCTCACGTCACCAAAATGTTTGCTTCTAACGCTTGTCTCGTATTATTCGAGGCGGGAGGAGAAATTTCAAAGGACGCTGATCAAACTCCGTTCATTGCTCTATGAACGCAATTTCTGCTGGTTATTCTTACAGTGGTGGAACTTGCAGTGGAAATGGAAATTATATTTACATATTTCTCAAGAATATCACCAAAAATGATTAGAGGAAAGGCGTGACTTAGTTTGTACAATCTGATTGACGACACACTAACAAAAAATGTCACAAGCTGTTCTTAACTATCGACATATTTGCTTTAAAATATCTATTTCTATTCAGCGCCTTGGAAACAAATAGTTTATGAAGACTTAAGCTATAGAGGATCCAAAGCTGGCGTACAAAAGTCTAACACAGAGAAAATTAGTTCCTTGGATTTTCGCTAGCATTGAACCAAATTTCATATCAAAGGTATTGGATGTGAGCAACAACGTGTTTGCAGAACAAAATACAGTAAGCAAATTCCAGAACAGTTCGTGCCTAAGAAACCAAATCAGACCATGGCGATTCGTAAATATCTGCGTAAGATTGGTTCACACTCTTAAAGTGCCAAGTAAACATAAACTGATATTAAATGACAATTCTTGACCGTTTTATGCGTGTACCGGTGTTAAATTCTAAAAGCAAATGATTACATATTACAGAAAAATTGTCTAACGTTAGCTGGCTCAGGGTTTTTAAAAGAACCCAAAAACAAAACAAAAATGAAAATTTACGAAAGTTTGCGCAAGATATCATCAAAGCATTAAAAGGCTATCGATGTCAATTCAATGAAGTTACCAGAAAAAGTGTTTCAACTCTTTTTCGAACTTTGCGTTCAAAGAATAAAAAAAAACCAGACGACTAGTTATTCCAGAATATTTGCGCATAATGTGTCATACGTATGGCGTGTTCGGTACAAAAAATATAATATCTGGGTTTAGAAATGTGCAAATTACAGAAAGTTTATGAAAAAAAGGAATATAGACTAATAGTCTAAAAATAAGCATCATCTACTTCCGGAACCTAATGCCATATGTTTTCGTGATTTGGTCTATCAGAAGGAGTAAAACAGGTCTAGAAGCTTTGTGCTGGAGTTGTAGCACAACACAATTCTAAAAAAAAAACACGACAACAGGAGAATGTTGATTCCAGAGAGTCCATGTGAGGAAGACATCTTCAGGTGTCTAAAAAAGAAAAAAAAAAAGAAATGTTAAATATAATTTAGATAAAAGATGTGTACTCCTGTAATGTCTCGATTAATAACTATAATAATGTCAGATTTATTCTATCCATCATGGAGTGTCCTCGATACTCCAGGGGTTACGCTCACTTTCGCTCTCTGCACCCCTGGAATCGTCCTCGATACTCCAGGGGTTACGCACACTTTCGTTCTCTGCACCCCTGGAATCATCCTCGATACTCCAGGGGTTACGCTCGCTTTCGCTCTCTGCACCCTTGGAATCGTCCTCGATACTCCAGGGGTTAAGCTCACTTTCGCTCTCTGCACCCCTGGAATCGTCCTCGATACTCCAAGGGTTACGCTCACTTTCGCTCTCTGCACCCCTGGAATCGTCCTCGATCCTCCAGGGGTTACGCTCACTTTCGCTCTCTGCACCCCTGGAATATATCAGGACAAAGTTGAAGGAGACAAGAAGACTATTTTGGTCGTTAATGTTTCTCAAAGGAATCACCCTGTCGCGAAACGGTAAAATTGACTGGCTTTGGAATTGAGTGTCGCTCCTCTGTAATCTTCAAAGGGCAGGTATCAGCCAAGCGACTGGTCATGTTTTTTCATACCCGAGTCATATCAGTTTAAATAGCTAACCCCTAGGGATCGAGAATGCCTATATAACGACCATATTGGTAAAACATTTTTTTGCGGGATAACTGTTTCTGTGTGTATCACCAAATTTAGATCTCCTAGAGCCTTAAAGTTTGTTATCTTTCGAATTTTTGTTTAGTAAAATATATATATATATATAGGCACCAGGTGAGATTTCATTTTGTAATTTATTTTATGACTGGTGCTAATTCCCAGCCCTGATTGGAGGAGCGACGTCATGTGACGAGTCTTCAAATATGTTACAGACATCGTTCAATGAATAGAAAAGTGTTACAGACCTCGACCTATAAATAGAAAAGTGTAACAGACCGCTACTAAAAATAGGCCTAGGTAATTTCCCAGCCAGTCTGTGATTCTGTTACCAATCACACTACTGAACCCAACTAAAATTAATTATCTCATCAAATTCTGAACTATGTGAATATTGATGATGTCGATTGTGCAAATAATATTTACTTGAAATTAAATATCACATGAATTGAATATGAAATTAAATTTGTGTGTATGCTATTTTGTATTTGAAATCCTTCACTCTGTGATTCCAAAATTGTCCTTGCCATCCAAGTGTTTATAACTTGAAAAATTATTAATCTTATTGTAAAATGTCATATAATAAAACAATTGTGGACTTCAGTTTCGGTCTATCCCTGATTTACGGACCTGGTCTGAAAAATATTCACCTCGGCCTTCGGCCTCAGTGAATATTGCTAGAACCAGGTTAACCGTTCGTAAATAAAATCAGATATAGACCTCACCAGAAGTCCATAATTGTATAATATTTTCTATTTATCACATAATGTACTGGGTTATCCAGTGAATATTAACCCATGTAATATGACCTATCGGTCCTGTGATTGGTTGTTAGTTTCAATTGTGACGTCACGCTTAGGACAAGTACATGATGTCACAGATTAATGCATTGGAGTCAAAATGGCGACTTTTTACATTTCAACGTTGCATGAAAATTGTCGTTTTACACGAATAAATGTCACATTTTCAAATCTTGATCATGTGATAAAAAGGATCTTACGCTCGTTATCATTTCATATGAAATTGATGAAACTCGTCACAATTTTTTCATTTTAGCTCGCCAGAGGCTAAAGGCTCGCTGAATTGAAAAATTCTTAAGACTCGTTTCATGAAATGGAAACTCATGTAAGATCCTTTCTAGTGCAAAATTAAATTTCACCGGATGCCTATAGAATTCAATTTGTAATATATTTTCTATATATTACAAAATTAAATCTCACCTGGTGCCTATTTTTATATTTTATAAGTTGTTATGTAGGCTGAATGTGTAGATGTGTCTATATATATATATATATATAGGCGACGTTATCGTGAGAAGTAGGTCCGTCTTATCTTAACATCTGTTCATATTTACCATCGTATGGAATTGCCACTACATTATCCTACCACATTCAGATGGCGTTCATCTAGGCTATGAATGCCGAGAACAGATTTTTGACATCATGATTGATATGTTGGATACCACTGACCCTCCCTGGACAAGTTATTCCGTCTTTGCGTATTGCAGAGTTATCTGCTCTTGTGAGCAGGTATTGATTGTTACGTCATTTGTTTGTGAGAGTAACGTCATCAATTTTTGAAAAAACGACGTAATTTTCTCACACAAACCAATGACGTAACAATCAATACCTGCTCACAAGAGAAGAGTACTCTGCAATACGCAAAGACGGAATATAGCTGTTCTATTCATTGAGAAAGCATACTGGATAAATATATTATTTGAACTAAATGCTAATGAACCTAATTAATCAAACTCAATTGAATTTTCTATGAGAGAAAAAGATTCCGAAAATGGTAAATATAAGTATTGAACTGCTTTCAGTTGATATTCATTGGAGATATTAATGCCAATTTGACAAAGACAAATCCAACATGTCCCACTAGATCACTTCATTGAATTATTGAATGTCTGTTTAGCATTCATTTTGCCTGTGAATGTTAAAATAAAAATTCTCATCATACGACACAGAAATATATCATGAAACAGTTTCCTTCATGATCTTTCCAAACCGTGCACAATTTGGCGATCTGCACTTTTCAAATGTCTCCATTTTGTGAACCGCTTCTGGTAGCAGTATACAGTAGAAATGGCCCGACTGATAAACAAGGCACATGTCGAGGAAATGTAAACACAGCGGATTTACCCTACACAACACATGTATACATGTATATATATTTGTAAACTGCATTACATTTACAATACATATAAAGTACTGAGAAGTGTATAAACCTCTTTTTTCTATGTATGTCACTTGTGTGAAAACCATGGTTACCACATCAAAAATTACCAAAAAATGCCAAAAAATGCTATTTTTAACCCAAAATTTGACCCCCGCAACTAGTATTTTTTTTCCTAAGCTCTGTCTGAAATTAAAGATTACCTACCTGGTTGCAGAATTATCTGGGTCCCAGTAAAATTGTAAAACTTGATTTTTTGCAATTTTGCGTCGTGTGCTGTTGTCAAAATTTTACCTCCTGTAAAGCTAGCTTTTCATGTGTACGCACCCTTTCGGATTATGGCCAAAATTTTATTCTCGAACCAAAAAAATCTTCTTTCTTTTTTACAAATGTGAAGCTCACATAGCCCACTTCATCATGCTTATACCAATTTTAGTACAGTTTTATTTTTATATTTTTTTTACATATCATTATACAGGGGTTAGCCATTTAACAAAAATATCACCCATGGCCACAACCCTCTACTGTATACTGCTACCTCTTATACATCATATATTTTTTCTTCAAAGTTTGATACCTCAATGGACATCTAAAGAAAAAAAATCTCATTTGTCAAAGTAGATTCAAAGGAAGCTTAACTCATTTACCCCTGAAATATCATAATGAACTATTCCAACCATTGAATTGGACGAGTTCAAATGTGTCTTCAGGGGTGAATGAGTAATTAATAAAATACAACTGAAGGGTACAGTTTTGTAACTGTGGAAGTAACAGCCAGGTCTGCCAATATATGAAGACAAGCATTCCTAATAGTATCTTTCGGTTGCTGAGTTTTCTCATATCTAAAATATCTTAAATTCCTAAACACTGAATAAAAAATAACCAGCAAAACAATTTACATATCACATTTTTTTTTATTTTGATCACAACTTGTGAGATATTTGTAAAAGAAACACAGCTATATATTAAAATGTATGTATTATAATCACTCTCATTTTAATACACACCGTGTAAAGCATGTGTAAAAATCGTATTTCACACAGGGTTGAGAAATAACCCATCTGTGCTTGAGGATCCCTGTACCACTGCCAATAAATGCAACAGTGTATTCAAAACTTATTTTTCCAGCATGACTAAATAGCTTTGATAAATAATTTTTGAAAAGAAAAGTATGCCTAGCCAGATTTTTATGAATGTATTATGGAGATGAAATAAAAAAAACTATAATCAACAATCGTGTTCTGAGTGTAGAATATTCTGCGGAGCTTGACCGGGATTCCAACCCAGGACTAGATTGTTATACCATCGCTGAAACCGAACGAATAACCTCAACAACGGAAGTGTATGAGACCAAATGTGCTATAGTTATATCCAAATAGAAGTTAAGGGGAGATAACTGTATAGGCAGTGCCGTGGCACAGGAATCCTTAACGAGAAATTCTTTTTCATATTAAAACTGACTTTTTATCAAAATTGGACGGATTGGCATGTTAAAAATATTCATTTGGTAAAAATAAAGAAATTGCAAAAAAACTTTATATTTCTAAAACCTTGAAATATCACCTAATAATCAATATTTAAATATGAATTAATTTAATTATTATTTCATAAGTTTGCATTTTTCTGATATGTAGTAACAATTAACTAGTTAACCATTAAAATTTCATTTTGCCTATTCAACAATGCATTGACTACACTTTCATCTTATGCTCAGGGTGTTGTACTGTCACATGAACTCTCCACATATGTAATATTTTGACGCTACATGAAACAATACGAAGACAGCACAAGATGATGACAAAAGTGGTGATGTCTTCCTGCAATTCTCCAGTCTAACTACTAATCCAAGGTCTTCTTGTTCATGCATCAATTGAGCATATATATTCAGAAAAATAATCTCAAACATGTTTCCATTACATAACTTTATGACAGCAGAGGTGCAAAGTGTTGTGTTCAAATTACAGACTATAGAAATAAAAGCCAGTGTTACAGCTAGCCAGTTTTCTATAATCTTTTAAGATGACTGGTAATGGAGTGTCTTGTTGAGTCAGAAGAAAATTCCGAGTATCATCACAAGTCACACACAGCTAAAACTAGACTGAAAAAGCTGATTAAAACAAAAATGTGTGTATCTACATTTGTATAGCAAAAAAAAATAAAAAAATAAAAAAAATCTTTTACCATATGAGATTCATATGACCTTAATTTTGGCTTAAGATCGTTATGTCTCGACTATTTTATAGTCGTTTTGATTTTAGATTATAATTTAATCGATATTGCATTTGTAGTCTAACTCTAATAAACATGTCAATGCATGATCAACTCCCACAATAACACGCCTCAACTCTCAACTTCATTTACACTGAAAATCAACATATTTTATATGCAATCCATTTCACCAGTTGTGTGTTTCCAGACATAAAACACAGAATATATAAAACATCATTTCACTATATTAAGCACTTTCGCTGTTCCACCATTTGAAGGAACTTTCGCACAAAAAGATAATTTTGTTGGCAATTTTCTAACTAATCTTTGGTTTTCTTTCTGTGATTAAATATCAGCTGCCACAAACTTTGATCAAGTTTGATTAAGTGAAATTTTACGATAAATTTAAGAATTTAACTTGACCACTGAGGATACAGTGACAATATTTCATTTGGTAGTATTGATATTCAAGACATTATTAGATTTCTAGTGGAAATTTCTAGATTTGTCTAAATGACATTTTTGACATTAAATACATATGTATCTAAAAACAGCATTAAAAAAATAAAAAAAAAATTATTCGTGATAATTTGAAGAGCATACACCCAGACAGATTTTGTTAAGCTTCTTTTAAACTTCCACTCTATTCCTAAGCAAAAAAGTAGTGGTGATACTTAAATTAACCTGTAAAAATACAGCTACAGGTAAATCGTTTTCTTAGTAATAGCAAAGCTCTTGGTTAAAACATATTTCGTTACAACACTTTTCGAACACATGTATCACAGAAGAAGTCATTAGAAAAAACGAAATGCATCCTCTAAAATATATCATTATATAACTACTTTCCTGAATTCAAGAAGGATAAAAGTTTCTTCACACAAAATTTTTATCGCCTCATACCTAAAAATTAACAAAAACAAAATTAACAAAATAGAGGCTAAATACATTGAATTGCACAGTTAAACATTACCATGTAGGAAATTATCCCTGGAGAAGCATCGATAAAATTATTTCAATTAAGGAGTCTACGCCCTCAGTACGACATTAAATAATTTATTTTTATAAATTGAATTTAAGTAAAAACAATTGAAAATGCAAATAAAGCGCCTATTTTTTATATATTTTTTTTTAAATTAGCGCCTGCACTCTGTTCAGCAGTTGCTTAAAATACAGGTGCTGGAATACCTGTAGCTAGAATATTTATAAACTACCATACAAGAAGGGTATGTGTTTTCTTGTCTATCTGTAATGAAATAAACACGTTTTCCAAGAAATTTAGCCAAATACATGTAAGCAACAAATACACACATCTACAAGTTACAACAAAACTTAATTAATTAAAAATTTAAACATGAAACTTCTGAATGCAGCAAATCCAACTTAAGATCTGACAATAGTTGACACAAACACTTAACAAGTTGGTAATATATCAGAATATATTATTTAATTTGATACATTCATTTCATAATCAAATTTCAATTTCAGATGATTTCTTTTCTAGTTCATGTATTTTCACAACCATCTGTGAAAATTAACAAACAGAAAAATTATCAAAAAATTAGATTCTTTTAACAAAAATAAAAGTTGAAGTAGGCAAAGAAATATATAATGATATCACCATGGAATTTCTACTTGTAGAACTTTCCCATCAAGTGATTCGTCGGAGATTTAGAATTCTGCATAATTTGGTGAGCTAGGTATTTCATCAAACGTGAACAACAAGCTGCATATACAAAAAAATTGTACGTAACCTAATTCAAAGTCAGCCTAAAAACAGAAAATACAACCCCCCCCCCCCCAGAATTAATACGACAGTGTTCACAATGGCGACAGCTGAACTGAACAACCAATCAATCTACTGTTATTACACCCAATCACAAAATCTCTTACTTATCTAATAGCCAATCACAAAATCTCTTCTATCTTTATCATCAAACAACTAGCATATATATATAAAAAAAAATTGCAAGATAAGCAAAATGCTACAAAGTGGAAACCCTGACATTACATCTCGAGCTAAACAAAAGTACATTGTTTATAAAATTACCTGCTACTATTTTTTTTTACAATAATAAGGAATCACTCGGACAGGCATTCATTTTACTAGTTATGGTTAAGAATTTTTTCTTTTCATATTACATTCAAAATTGACATTTTACTTGATCATTAAATTGAAGTGAGTAAAAATGTCTAAACAATTTTGATTTATTATTTGAAAGTAAAAAGACAATAATGCACATTCGTAGAACTCCATAATTTATTTCATGTTGATTATTATCCTACATTAATTTGATTTTGCTGTTCTAGCTCTAAGTTCCATTCAGTGATTTTTGTTTGCGAGATGATTTTGTTCCTTAGCGTGGCATAGTTATAGGTAAAAATAACACATGGTGTAAAAAAGGTGTCTGTGGCACTGATAAGAAAATCTTTGACAAAATGTCACATCAATTATACTCATGGCTATGTGAATGCTGAGGTTGAGCCCACTTAGACTCTGCCCCTGACACTTGATCAACAGCTAAGATGGGCATTTCCCGCGTTTTCGTCCTGCTGTGCTTTGTGGCCGTGAGCTGTGGAGGTGCAACTGGGAGCATCTTATGCAGATAAACCTGTCGACCTGTCCCTGCGTCCTCTCGACTTACTGAGGGTCTAATTGGAGGAAGGGGGTGTCGAGCATTACCCTTTATTTGGACGTCAGCGTCCATTTCATCACTATACCGTAAAAATGGCTTTGCCAATTCAATCGGAGAGTCTGATCGTGAAGAACTTGTCGATTTTCCCGAACTTGTTCTAACAGCACGTTTTCCAAGCTCCTCAGGATCAACACTGGGCTTACTATGTCGAATAATCCCACGACGAGCACGTCCCGAATATTGATCTCGGGAAGGGGGTACTGGCACAATGTGTCCATCTGTGATAACGGTCTTTGTCACTGCTGCTGACTCAAGTTGAAGACGCTTTAACTTGTGCAGTTCAGAAGTAAGGTAAGCTATTTGGTTTGATTTTGACTCAAGTTCTGCCTTATATTGATCGATTTCTTGTGTCTTTTTACGGGCTGCATCAATGTATTTCATTTTTTGTTTTTTCGCCAATAGTTCAATCTCACGAACAACTTTCTCTTTCCTTTCCAGCTCCTTTTCGAGTTTTGAGTGAACTTGTGCCTTCTCTCCCATCTCCTTCTGTAGTTCCTCCACCTTGGCTGACGTAGCACCTGTATAGACAACAAAATGACTTATATACAGTATCAATGTCATCTTACACATTATTTTCAAACCTGGGATTTGTGTCAGCTATGTCCATTAAAATGTTTTAATCCTTAATTATCTCAACAGAGCTCTTTTCTTTTGGGAAGGATATGATTTTCCCACCCAATACAGGTGGGTCTCCTTTCGTGGTTTGAAATATACAGCGACTCCTTTGTTGGGGAAAATGGTGTCATTCAGGAAAACATTATAATGATGAATGACATGATATTTTAACAAAAAAACAACATAATTAGCTTTTGACAGGAAAGAAATTGAGGAAGAAAAACAGATTACAAATGCTGATTGAAAGGTAACCATTGTTTTGGAACATAACACTGATATGATTGTAGAAAAACAATCATTCATATATGAAAAAGAAATCTCATTTTTTCTGCTGAGAATCTTAAGAGATTGAAGTTTATAAACCTTGCGTGGGACAACCACAAATATCACTCCAACCTTCATGGTAGGGGGTGTGAGTCATAGAAATGTAGCACACATCTTTAAAAAGAAAAATCTCTTTAAAAATCTTTCCCAAAACATTTTAGCTTTTCACTTCCGTCTATTGAGAATTACCAGTGTCCCATGCAGGTAAACAATATTTATTATTATTTTTCTAGACATTATTGAGGTTTACTTCTGGGATAGAAGATAAGAACTTTTGAAGATATTTCAAATCAAAACTTAAACATTATGGTGAGAAAAAAGACGCCAGAAAAAAGATACTTATTAAAAACACAGAATTTACAATGAACATACGCATGGAGATGCGGCCTTAAATGACCCAATATAAGCTGTTAATAGGATGTTAAACAAGATAAAACCAAACCAAATTATTTTCACAAATACAGTTCTATACTTTTACAAAAAGAAAAGAAAAGTGAAATTCATATCTCTGAGTATTGAAAGATGCCAAAAAAGCATAATTTTTGTTTTTCATTCACAGGTTTAGATTAATTGTATTAATATTTTCTTTTAGTATTTTAATGTTAAAAACACAGAGTATTATACCTACCATTATCATCAATGCCGAGACCCTGCATATTTATCTGGAATGTTAAGTCTGAAAAATGAAAAAGAAAAAGGCATGAACAAATGCTGAATAATAATAATCAAAATAATATTTTATTTTCATTTTGCATATTTATGCCTTAGGCTCAGAGTGAGAATGTGGTAGATAGGGCCCAATATCCATTTCTATTTTATATTGTAACCAAAACAATTATAGTTATATATCATACTAGCCTGACTACATTTTACATTGCCAAGGGTTAGTGGCTTTTGTCTATTTTGGAAATGGTTTGCGCTCAATTTCTAATAAACTGAAGAAGACTTTCATTGTGCTGGAATTCCAAATGTCACATTGTAGACAATACTGGGAAAATCATTGAAAAAAACGAACAAACATCTGAAGTTTCAGTTATCAAAATTGTGAAATGGAATATTATTGAATGGTTTTAAATGTCTATTCATGAATTTAATTCATAATTAAATTATCGAAAAGTACAAATTAAAAAAAGTGAATTTATTTAATTTTACAAATTAAGGCAAAAATAGTTTTTCTATCAGGAATGTTCCCGTTAAACAAACATATAATAAAAGTGTGATAAATAAAAGCCGTAGGTCCATTCTTTATCAGTACAGACATAATATTTAGCAGACCTGAACACTTTTTCTGTAGATTTCGGATTTCTTCATGTAAAGCTTTCAGCGTGGTGGCATGCTCCTGCTGCATGAATAGTATGGCACTCTCCATGTTGCGCTTGTGAACTGCTGTTTCGTTTGCCATGATTGTGTATTGGCGGAGTCTTTCGTTCAACAATTAATCTGAAAAACAAGAATTTGTTTAGTAGAAATTAAACATTTAAAAATTAATGATCATATTCATATTTTTTTCTTTTTATAAAAACAAGCCATTTGGATAGAAATGTCTTGCCTGTGCACCGCTTTGACCATTAACTCATTCACCCCTGAAGTTTCATAATGAACTATTCCAACCTTTGAATTGGAAGAGTTCAAATGTGTCTTCAGGGGTGAATGAGTTAATGCACATGTCACGTTTGGTGGGGGTAGCACTTATAGTTTCAGAGAAACTTATAACTTTAATGCAAAAATATAATTTTGATCGAGATGCTGACAAATTCATTGGACCATGAAAGGTAGGCATCATCCAGCATTTGATGCATGGGTTGAGATGTACTACCTGTGGCAGGTTTTGATTGTACATAGGATTAAGGTCACCTGTACTATCTTTGAGCTAGAGGGAATTTCCCTTTAGCTCAGTGGTAAAGCAACTAGGAACCTGGAGATTGAGTGTTCGATCCCCGGTGGAAGCACACTATTCTCTTTCCTGTTACAAATGGTGTCTGTGGCCCTCCCTGTTGTGACAGGGGGTTAGAACCTGGGTTGTGGTGTTCGAGGGCAAACACATTTAAAAAGGGAGGAGTAGTGTGGCAGGTTTTGATTGTACATAGGATTAAGGTCGCCTTCTGGCTTCGAGCTAGAGGAATTTCCCTTTAGCTCAGTGGTAGAGCGTTCGACTAGGAACCTGGAGATTGAGGGTTTGATCCCCGGTGGAAGCACTCTATTCTCTTTCCTGTTACATACCTAAGATGCATCTATGGTCCAAGTTTGGTTGGTCTATTACATATACTTTCAGTGAAACTAACTTAAACGCAAAAACTTAATGTTGACACAGCCGTCGCCGGAAAAGCAACACCTTAGTCTTGCTTGCGCTACTTTGTGGCTGCGAGACAAAACCCCTCCTGTTTAACAGTTTGAGTGATGGCTATCTGCATCACGGTAGCAGGAATCGATTGTCTAATATAATGTCCCGACCGGAATTAGAACCAGGAACATCTGAACATTAGACGATGCTCTCCGCCATTTAATTGATATCTGGTCACTCAAGCATTGTCAACAATAGACTGTTTAAAAATACAGTTTAGCTGTATGTGGTAATTTGTCATTTGTTAACTTTTAATTCGAGCTGTGGCCTTATCAGCAAAGGACCTACAAAAATAATCACAAATCATGTTGTTATTGAAGAATTTTTATGGATAATATTAGAACTGACAACAGAGGAAAACGTAAATTCCTAAAATCTGTGAGAATATCTGTGTAGAAGGTTTTAAATTTACAGGGATGAACTGTTCCTTTCATGTTGACAAATTAGAATTACATACCTGGAAACATAATCAAAATTCAATCTTCATAAGTTCGCTTAGATCTAAAGTTTTGCCTTATCAGAGAAATAACGAATCATTTTATGTCACAGCACTAGGGTCCGACTTAGAGTGACTGTGAAAGATGACAGTTTAAATTCACTTGAACAGATTGAGAAAACAAGTCAATAGTGTAGAAGCTTTTAGTCTATAGTTCCATTCTATTCACTTTACTTAATTATGCTCTTCTGGAAGAAAAATATTTCGATTATGGTTTATAATTACCATACTAATCTTTCTTTTCACAAGATTTTAAAAATCCAAGTAAAATAAATTGTCAATTGATTTTCAACATTGAACACCAATCTTCCTCATATACATTGATTAACATCTTCCAAAAATACAATATTGATGGAGGATCCTAAATTACAGATGAAGGTTTCCGGAACGCCAATCATACTGAGGTGCTTTAATAACTGTGCAGGTATGTTGGCTAGGTGGGAAAACACCATTTGAGGTACAGTAAGTTCTTATATATGTGTTGCGAAACAGGACTGGGTCAACCGTCAGAGACCAGAGGTAGAGCATCCACCTAGAGTTTGAAGGGTCCCGGGTTCGAACCCCGGTCTGGACGTGCATTTTTTCATCTCCTGTCACATATGTAGCTTATCCAACCTCTGAATGCAGTGTGTTGGGTGAAAAGGACAAAGGGGAATATAATTAAATGCGTACTATACTTCTCCCTTTCATAAAACCCTGCCCGATACATCTGCACCATCACTGTAATGCTGTTATTGCTTTATAATTATGTACGCAAGAGTTGCTTCGACAGGCAGCCAACCCTACGAATGGATGTTTTTGCTTTTATCAGCCATGAATCAATAAAAGTGATTGGTAATATTTAAAACAAAGTGCCTTAATCACACCACTGTACCCTAGGCTTGGTAAAAAATATTCTCCGTTTATATCAGATTATTGTAAACAGTTGGCTGCAAAGCCGTGTTGCAAATGCGCAGCTTTCGATAGTTCTAGCAATGACAATCTTACCACTTCAACTAACAGCTTAAGTAGTTCATTTCCAACAAATATCCAACTATCAGCCAATATGTCATGCTGACAGAAGGCTAACTCAGATATTTTTTTCTTGAATCATTGTCAGCTGCGGTCAATGGATTTCCTTCACTACAGGAATGCCAAAGGATCATGGGTAATTTCTTTATTTCCGAAATAAATAAAGATTATACATTTTTTTAATAAGGAATAGAAAATAAAGCAACGTATTTCTTGCCTATGTGTACTTTATAAGAAAACTTTTTGTTAAGAAACTGTAGCAATTATTAAATAGAAAAAAAAGTCTCAAAGTTGTGAGAGTTTCATAATATTTTCGGAACTCTTCGCGTTTCGTCTATATAATAATGAATAACTCCCGAGAAATTAAATGTATCTGTCAAAAATGGCGTCGTCCGCTACAGATTTCGTGATCGTCTGGGAATGGATGAATGAATATGGGCGCTGGAAACCTTACATGCCACATGTTACACAATATATTGAATCAAACAGATCACAGACTGCTAGTCTGAATCTCAGTGTCATCGATGGGATGCTCAATATGTATTCCATTGATTTTATTGCCATGTGCCAAATTCGTCTCGGCACTGGTAAGTTGATCCGCGACACAATAAGGCAACCTTAAATTATGTGCAGGTCTATTTGTATGTTGAATAGCAAATATGTTGATTTTGTGTGCACACTTTGCCCTATTAGTGATATATACAACATTTTTTTCATGGTGAAATATTTAGTCAATATACATCATGAAAAATCAATAACCATCTGTTCAATGTTGTACAGTAGAGCATTAACCTACTTTAGCTGTTTTGATACATTATAGTCGAAACATGCTGCGTGTATGTTAATTACGTCGATAATTTTTTGACAGCAGTTTCATGTAAGTGTAAGAGGTGAATGCATGACGCCGCGTTAAACTGTTAAAACACTACTGCAGGGAAAGCAGTTACAATTATTTGTATTTGACATATAGCTCACTTTTGTTCGAAATAACTAACGAAAACACTTTTACTCTGCTGGGTACATTTTGTCAAATGTTTTTTTTTTATTGGTCAAAGATATTATGAAATCTAGCCAGACATATAGTGCTTAAAACGGTGTTAAATTGACATAATTGACATAACATAGTTGACAGACAAAAGGTGTTTTCTAAAATATGTGTAAATAGAATAGATATAAATAACATTTCTATACATTTTTTTCTAGTATACTAAATCTAAAGAAATGGCTGTAAACACTCAAAAAATTATGATACAAATAAATATATGTTATAGGTTTTACTAGATCATGTTGTGTATCAGTGTAAAATTACTTACTAGTATTTTGTTTCGAAGTTGTGTAAAATTACCTGACAGTATTTTGTTTTGTCTGACTTCTTGCATTTGGTCATATGAAAAACTGTCAAATTCAATTGCAATCATCAGTCACGATGAGAGTGTTGCAGAGTCTATTCTCAAGATCACCAGGGTATTTATATCCTTTTTGAATGAAGCCAGAGTTTCTGTCTTCCTGGTAGCAGATGGTAATTTAAGCTATTCCACAACATAGCCGAAACCCATCCAAAGTACAAGTTTCTGTAGGTCACTAGTGATTTGATTTATTTTGCTCAGTTTTACTGTCCAATACAGGCTGTTTCCCCTTGCTAAAAAGTACTTTACTTTCCCAAAACGACCAAAAACTGAGGAATAGTAAAATTTAGATAACAAAAACACTGGTCACAGTATGAGATTTTGGGACACACAACAAGGATTCTGTCTTCGACCACAGTGACCATGGTATGGCTGATCCAGAGTAACAAGCTCCTGTAAAATCTGGGGAGCTTTTCCATTCAGTTCCAGGGTTTTTGACGGCTATTTTGGGAAAGGGCCCCTGAGCAGGAACTGGGAAAATATCATCAGCATTTGGCAAAAATTGGGAAATATCATCAGTGTTCCCAAATGTACAAGTTGGGAAAAATATCATAAGTTTGGAAAAAAAATTAAAACCTGCAATGTGTTTAGCAAAAAGGTTTCCTCTAGCTGTTTCTTACAGTAAATTAATGTGTAGTAATAAATAAGCACCTCAAATCACTGTTTTTGTTTATGTATTTTACATGCTCCTTCATGGACAGTAATACATTTAACGTCTCACAAATAATGACTGGAAAGTTTTATAAACATGCTTTTTAATCTAATTGGGAAAACAAAGACTGCAATTGGGATAATGCACGGTCTTTTTTTCAATTGGGAATGGGTCCCTGTACTGGACCACATAAACACCTGGCAAAACCTCAGAGTTGCTTGTATGTGTACAATAAAATTTGGCGATGCAACAAATTGTATCATACAGGTAACCAGTGCAATGAATATAGCACTGGTGTAACTTGCTCTCTCTTTCGAGACCAGACTTGCTGCAGTATTCTGGACCCTCTGCAGATGACTAGTTAGTTTGTCAGATATATACCACAGCTAGAGCAGGGCATTAATTACCATAGTCCAACTGATCGAGAGAGGTAACAAGTGAATGTACCAAAGTCTTGAATGCATTGATCTGCAGCCATAAACAGCCGGATAGTGGATGCAGGCAATGTTTCTGATGTGGTAGTAACAGGATTTGGCAATAGCGTTCACTTGTTTCTCCATGTTCAGTGAACTATCAAAGTATACCCCTAGGTTTTTATATAGCTGGGGCAGTCTAAATAGTTCTGGCTCTTGTTTAAGCTGGGGAGCCATTGCTTGCTGACACTTCGGTTCCCTATAAATTGTTTGGTGAACAGTAAATTTAGTCCTTTTTTTTGCTTTTTCTGCAGTTTTGTTTTTCCACGCGGAGATTTTCATTATACAATGTACAACAGGGGGGGGGGGGGGGGGGGGTCTTACAATTATCACCGGTTCCTTAGACTGTAAACATGTATGTTTCTTTATCAGTACCTCTATACCAGATATGCTTCAACAAGATCATCAACTCCACCTTCAGTGAAGGCAGAAGTAGACTCAATATCATTGATGAAATCTGGTATACCGTATGGACATTTTGTAGAATTTCTGGAAGCTGACCTCCTTCCTTGCACTATCTGGCTTACTACAATTCATAGTTGCTTGCATAGCAAAGTGATCGCCAGATTGGTTCCCTTTAACATCACTTAGACATGCATCCATCACAGAATTTGCTCCATGAATTACTGATATATCTTCCCTTGTAAAGGTTCCGTGGTCGAGTCACACCACGGCACTGTGTTGTATCTTTGAGCAAGATACTTCACTCCGCTTGTTCAAGTCTACTCAGCTGTAAATGAGTATGTGGTTGGGCAGCACTATAATTGTTGAATGTTAGCGCCGAAATGGCAGCTCCGGCTGTATGCTCCCCAGGGAGTTGAGACAGATATTGGCTGGTTGCAAAGGCCCTATAACCACGGATTATAGTTTGTGAACCGCTTTGAGACGACCTACGAACTAGGTTGTGATAAAGCGGTATTTATAAGAACCTCAAATTATAATTATCATTAGTGTATCATAGAGGCCATGGGTGTGTGTAGCTTCTGTCACATCAGACCCTAATGGACACATCTGTATCAATGCATGGCTGAGTCTACTGAACTTACATAGGGGTGAAAGGGTTAAGGCCTTTACGTGGGCCTCCTTGTTTTTCAAACCCTCAAAATTTGGCCGAGTCGGAATGAGGTAGTTAAAACACAATGTAGAAAATTAAGACCTTTTATAATTAAGCTTGTTTATACTAGTAACAACGACTCCTGAATTTCATTCAATAAAGGCAAGATGAAAATAATAGGATCATCTTGCATGAGTTTCCATTTCATAGGCGAGCTAAAATGAAAAATTCGTGACGAGTTTCATAAATTTCATATGAAATGAAAACGAGTGGAAGATCCTTTTTATCACATAATCAAGATTTGTGGCATTTATTCGTGTAAAACAACATTATTCATTCAACCTTGAAATGTAAAAAGCCGCCATTTTGACTCCAGTGCGTAAGTCTGTGACGTCATGTACTTATCCTAGGTGTGATGTCACAATTGAAACAATTGAAACTTACAACCAATCACAGGGCTGATAAGTCATATTACACGGGTTAATACGCCAAAAAATAAGACATGGGTATATTCACTGGATAACACAGTACATTATGTGATAAAATAATTTATTGTGCCTTAATTGTATTTTATGTGTGATACATGGTTACAATGCCTCTAGTCCTTTGAAAGTTAATTTTGAAAGATGATGACTGAGAGATGTTATTTTTAGACCTGATTTCTATGTAAATTCTACATCTAGTTACTAAACTGTCCTTATACTCAAACTTTGCATAATGGCTGTAAATATTGAAAATAATACCAAACTGTAGAGAATCAAAAGTTTGGACAACTATAAAACTATCATGTTTTTCGAAGAAATAAGAAACATCATTATGCAAGGAAATGGGCTTTATACTGCGTGACTGGTGAAAGCTATATACATGTACTATGGTTATTTGCTGTTTTTTTCTCATTCAGTTTGTTTGTGTGTATTATGTATCATAAAAAACATAGTTAACCCTTTCACCCCTAGGTAAATTTAGTGGACTCTACCATGCATTTATTGGGACGAGTCCATTGTGGTCTACAGTGGTGAAAGGGTTCATTGTACTTTCCTAATGACACTTTAAAAAGGTAGTTTTGAAAAGTTTTGATAATATTTTATGAAATCGTTCACTTCTTTCAACAGGAACCCCACGTCCTGTACGTCGGATGTTGTACCCCCCTGACTCACCGTGGGGGAGGGGTTCGCTGTGGCAATGGGAAGGTGATACAGCAGGCGAATGGCATACCTATGATGCAGACGTTGCCAGGGTGATTGACGACTTTTTTCTACAGACAGGACAAGGATCAACCATACTGGACCTCACCCATTCTTCTCTGAATCTACCTTATCAAATCAATTTTAGCAATATGACACAGCAAAGAATAGGTACGGGGAGACAGAGAAATATACGTCGTGAAAAACTTACAATACCCTATCCTCGAATGTCTCAAGGATCTACTGGTCAGATGTTAAGTGGCCCTCCGATGGCATTGGCCAATAATACGATGGGACCAGCTTCTATGAATCTTGTAGGCGGGTCCAGTTCAAATTCAGCTAAACAGCCAAGACTTGCTCCTGGATATCAACATGCAAGTGCTGCATCTCACCTCCACATGCCTACCTCAGTCGGTGCTACAAACCTGTCCCAGGCTTATATTCACGGTACTACTGGGCTTTCAAGTATACCTACCACGACTGTTTCCGTGTCTTTACCCGGAGGCTTAAACCTTGTATCCACGGCAGCATCATCTCCGATTCATTTCTCAGGACCGCTGACACGGAAGAGATTACATTCTAGTATTGTGAATAATAACACACCCAGTATGCCGATATCATCCATGCACCCTTCACACTTAGGAGGACAAAACGTCAATCAACCTATGGTTCCTGGAAGTGGGGGAAGCTCGGCTCATATGATCTCGTCCCTTGGGCCTCTCTCCCTATCCCAACTCCCACCCACGTCTTTCTCCAGTCCAAACATGTGGATGCCCAATGTGATAAATCTCCACCCCCAGGGATATCCAGGAATGTATCCTGGGATGTCTGGTCCATCATCTAGCCAGACCACACCAACCTACTCTGGAGGGTAAGTTAAGATTATAGTCAAACTTCCATAAATCGAACTTCCAAGATTCGAACTTCTCGAGGCCCATTCTTTAATAAAACATTGAAAATTACAACTAATAAATCGAAGTGAAATATTCACCTATTCTAAAACATTAAAAATGTCCCGTGGTTATTTGAACAGTACAGGCTTCGGAAATTTAATTGTCTAAGAAATGTCGAATTTGATAATAAATCAAATGGAAATATAATTAAAGTTAAATGTCTTAGGCTGTGTTTCGTCACATTTTGAGAGAATCACATTCTGTCTAATTTACAGGATTTAGATGTTCAATATCCGTGAGTCGAAGTCCCGCAAAGTTCGAAACATCGAAGTTTGACCTTATTTGAAATACATTGTGAAATATTTCTTATCCGATGAGTTATGATTGGTTATATATCTAACAGAGCGAGTTTAATCAACAGATATGTGTATGTTGTGGAGGAATATATCAAGGGTGAGAAAAAACATGGAAAACCTGATTTAATAACTAGCTCACCTGGTCCGAAGGACTGGTGAGCTTATGGGATGGTGCGTCGTCCGTCGTCCGTCCGTCGTCCATCCCTCTGCCCGTCAACTTATTCTTTGAGCGACTTCTTCTGAAGAACTTTAGGGCCTAGGGTTATGATATTTTGCCAGTAGGTACCTGGGATGGAGTACTATAAAGTGTTCTCATTAAAATGAACTTGACCTACTTTCAAGGTCACAGGGGTCAAATATGTTAAAAACTTTAACAATCTTCTCAAGTTCCATAAGGCATAGGGTTATGATATATTGCCAGTAGGTATCTAGGATGGAGTGCTATAAAGTTTTTTCATTAAAATGACCTTGACCTAGTTTCAAGGTCAAAGACATGATTTCATAAATATCGCTCGAACATAGTTGTCAACCTCTGAAATCTCCAATGAGGGAGATCTACCTCATTCCACATTTCCAAATATGGAGCTTTGCTTTGCTTTGCTTTGCTCAATTTATCTTTCCCTTTTTATGTATCAAAATAAGTCCAAAAAAAATCATGTGATTCAGACACCTGTTATGATCATTGCACACACTCTGCACTAAGTAGAAGATCATTTGACCACAGGATGCAGATTTTGAGTTTGTGTGAGTTATGAGGGAGATTGGTAAATTATAGTCAAAATGAGGGAGGGTTTACAGCTATCCGGCTCTTATAAAATCCACGGGGAGAATTATTGCCTTGTTATTATGCCCCAGAGGTGTCCTTGCATTGTTGTGAACTGAATTCAGGTCTCATGTAGAGTAATTACAAGGTGTGGATGAAAGCTTACGTGACATTTCCAAAGAACAAACTTCAAATTCCTTGGATTTTATTCCATCAATACGTTTCTTCTCCTGATTAGTTTTATGACAATGATTCTAATAATTTGTGCGTATACGTAATTTATGGGGATTCTGAAAAACCCCAGTAAACAACAGAAATTAATTAAATTGTCATATTTCGTAATTAGTGAGTCTATGATGTGAAGCCACAAGAACAAGAAAAAGATAAGGTTATACATAACAAGGCATGCTCGATTTGTGCTCACATGGCCCCAAAAAAGCCGACCAGCTATAGCTAGACGGGGCACTAAGCTTGAATGGAATAAATATTACACCGGCTATCTTGATCCGCCAGGCCAATATTGTTAACATTTTTCAGTAGCCTTGTTTTTCACAATGTTTTTCAAACATCTTAGATGCTAGTTTTCAGCAATACTTTCCTTATCAATGATAATTGCATGCGTGTTGCATTTTAAATTCAGATATAAAATATTTATTGTTAAACAATCCTTTTCAATATTTTAAGATCATGAGTAATGCTATCTTATAACTTGAAATAAGAAATGTAAAAATGTCATGTTGAGACTTCACTTTGTACAAATATAATTTTGAATGTGTGTTTGACTTAAGTCTTAATTTTTTGATGGATTAATTATAAAGGCTTACTAGCATTTTGTACATTGTATATTGTGCATAGATATTGGTATCAAATAGCATACATTATTAGCAATAAGGGCAAGTGAGCTTATGTCATGGTGCGGTGTCGGTCTTCCGTCCGTCCTTGTCCGTCAACTTTTCCCTTAAACAACTTCTTCTGAAGAACGGACAGGCCTAGAGTCATGATATTTGACTGAAAGTTTTGTTGGTAGGAGCCTGACAAAGTTTGATAACGAAAATGACCTTGACCTACTTTCAAGGTCACAGGGGTCAAATATGTCAAAAACTTCAAACAACTTCTTCTGAAGAACTAAAAGGTATAGAATCTTCATATTTGGCCAATGGATTCCTGGGATGGAGCCCGGCAAAGTTTGAGGATGAAAATGACCTGGACTTTCTTTCAAGGTCACAGGGGTCAAATGTTTCAAACACTTCAAAGGACTTCTTCTGAAGAACTGAAAGGTATAGAATCTTTGTATTTGGCTGGTGGCTTCCTGGGATAGAGCCCGACAAAGTTTAAAAACGAAAATGACCTTGACCTACTTTCAAGGTCACAGGAGTCAGATATGTCTAACGCTTAGAACAAGTTCTTCTGAAGAACTCGAAGGTATAGAACCTTAATATTTGGCTGGTTATTTTCTGGGAAAGAGACCAAAAAAGTTTGCGAATCACAGCGTTCAAATATGTCAAACGGTTCAAAGTACTTCATAAAATTATAATATTTGGCTGGTGTCTTCCGGGGATAGACCTCACAAAAGTTTGCGAATGAAAATCGCCTTGACCTACTTTCAAGGTCACAGGAGTCAGATATGTCTAACGCTAAAAACAAGTTCTTCTGAAGAACTCAAAGGTATAGAAGCTTAATATTTGGCTGGGTATTTTCTGGGAAAGAGACCAAAAAAGTTTGCGAATCACAGCGTTCAAATATGTCAAATGGTTCAAAGTACTTCATAAAATTATAATATTGGGCTGGTGACTTCCTGGGATAGAGCTCACCAAAGTTTGCGAATGAAAATGACCTCAATCTACTTAAGATCTAGAGGTCACAGAGGTCAACAACATTTTAAAGGATTTGTTCTCAAGAACTAAAAGGAATGGATTCATAAGATTTGGCTGGTAGCATTTTGGAATAGAGCTAACCAATTTGAGAAGGAAAATGACATTGACCTACTTACAAGGCCACAGGGAAAAATATGTCAAGCAACTTCTGAAGAAAAATCAAAAAGCATAGAATCTTATAATAATATCTTGCTGGTAGTTTCAACAGATGGAGCCAGCAAAGTTTGCGAGGGAAATATTTTAGTGCAATATAATATTTAATGAGAATATTTTGCTATGACTGCTTAAATATTCAGGTGAGCGTTACAGGCCCTCTTGGACCTCTTTTGTTAATATGTATACATGTACGGTAATACGTATATATACATGTACATGTTACTAATGGACATGGCTAGGCAGACATGGTCCTAATTTACTGAACCAGTGCACGTGGGCGAAGTTGCTATTAGTCGGTCACACTGTAGTCTGAACCATATTCAACATAATAGTTGCACAGTTTGCAACCATATGTTATCAGTGTTAACATATAAACTTTATTTATTTTACAACAATTATGAAACAAGTTATTTCAACTTATATTAATCACTCTTGTTGGCCCGGATGTTAGTGCGTACAGGTCTTAGTGTGGGAGGAAACTGGAGTACCCGGAGAAAACCCAGGTGGTCGGGCAGGTGACCCCAATTTTTCATGTCCGATCGGGGAATCGAACCCCGGCCGCCTTGGTGAAACGCAAGTGCGCTATCCATTGTCAGTGTTATTTTGTTGTAAATTCTAAAATTTTTCCTCCCATTCCTGTATGACTACTGTACACAGTAAGAAAGGGGTGTTCAAAGAAATATCTGTCATGCATCCTGGGATATTCACAGTTCAGTAATGAATCGTTGAAAATGCAATTAAATCTTTCTATGAAAACATAAGTTCCACGAGAATTGCCAGATAAAAGTAAAGTAATTAGCCTGTAACAGCTAAATAAGATCTGCATGTGACATATTTGGCAATTTGCATTGAAACATGATATTACAAGGAATTCTGTCCTATCACATGATATAAAACATGCGGTTATTAGGTTGAATACGACACCAGTCCGAATGTCCTACACACTTCCACCAGTGTGTGGTCTTCAATATTGATCTGTTGGCTGTACTGGTCTGTCATGGTAATGTTGGTATGGAAAGTCGCAGTAATAGAGCCAGTAACCTCATCTTCATGAAAACACCCATTTTAAGCTGTTGAAAACAAAAGTCCCCAAACAGTCCGTAATATCCTGGCTAGAAATGGAATGAAAGACTTTGAAAATGGATGTTTCTGCGACTTAAACATCTATAACTGTATGAACTTCTTTATAATGTGTAAATGTTGATCCTGGGTTCCGGTGTAAAAATCTTAATCTAGCTGATAATTGTGAAGTTCTATAGAACATAAGAAAGATATTGGTGTTTCAGGTTTAAAAAATTATACATATCACCTTTCTACTTTAGAATGCCTATGTCGTTTACCTTATTATTTTATAGGGAACCCTCGATATAATGCCCCCCGTTTTCTTTGCTATGTGATTTACCGCCAACATATTTCAATTTGCTCTTTTCTCGTTTTCTTATATATGAATTCCTCATACATTTACTTCAATTTAATGCCAAACCCCCTTTATTATGCCAAATTTGCTATTGGATAGATGGTGGCAGTATAACAAGGTTTTACTGTAAATCTAAATAGACCCCCATTAACATTTTATTTCTAAAAACTTTTTCTCTGTTATCTACCATAATGCTAACAATTATTATACAACTATACTTTTTGTTACTTTAACCTTTTTTGAACAACTGTTAAATGACGCCTTTAACTTTTAATGACTCGCTAATCATGGTTTAACGACATCGTTAATTTGACGATAGTTTTGAACAGCTGCGGCCCTGGTAATTAACGAAATTTGAAACACAACATCTATTTTTGTTTGACCTGAAATCGGATGGATTTTATCTTATGAT